ATGCTAGTAATAAGAATACAGGAAGAGAAGTAAGAGTAGTATAGATCTTGGCAAATTTTGCTATAGGACATCGCAATTGTGTGGTTTTAGCTCAGGGACACCGCGAAAGTGAAGTTTTGAGGGAAGACATCTCATAATCGTGGATATTTGCCGATGGACACCGCGCCGCCTAAAGGAATCTTGCTGTGCTGACGTGGCGGACGGGAGGCTTTTTTTGACACGGTTGGACGGTTGGACCTAAATGCCCCTGCGCCTTATCTCCTTAATGTCTGGCCCCACATGTCATCCTCCATGTCTGGCCCCACATGTCATCCTGAATGTCCTCTCTCTATCTCTCTCTCATTTACAAGGAGAAGGCTAGAACAAGGCAGGCGGCGGCCGGAGCTGGGCAGGCGGCTGACGGCGGCCGGAGCTAGCCACGAAGCTGAGCAGAGCAGTAGCTCGGCGGGGAGTAGAGCAGACCAGCAGCGCGCGCACCCTGGATCCCATGGAGCAGGAGGCAGTCAAGCTGTCTCCGTCGGGCCGCATCCGCAACCGCACGCCCTCCTCCCCCGACCTCCTCATCCCGGGCGCCGACAGCGATGCCAAGAACATGTGCCGCTACTCCGCGCTGCCGGGTGCCCGCCCTGACACGCTTGCCGACCGCCTCCACTGCTACCGCGGCGTGCTACTCGTCATCCTCGCCCCGCTCGCCCTCATCTCCCTCGTGTTCCTCCTCATGCCGTGTTCGCCCGCCTAGTCCGCCGCCGCCACCGCCGGCAGGAGGTGGGGCCCCGTCGACGCCAACAAGTGCACCGTCATATTCGACGCCGGGAGCTCCGGGAGCCGCATCCACGTCTTTCGATTCGACTCCAACCTGGATCTGCTCGCCTTGAGGAGGAAGGGGAAGGTGACCACCCTCTTTTCCCCTCTCTTTCAATCCTCTCCGGTGGCTCCCACGCACGTGCGCGCCCGAGCAGGATGCGGCAGGCGTACGATGGCGCGGGCCAAGGCGACGGCGGCGGCCTGAAGGCAGCCTGGCGGCGTTGAGTGGATGGGGAGAAAAGGCCAGCGCAACGAGGAGGTTCTGGGGCCGCGCCGAGCAGAGGAGACAAAGGTGGAGGCGCTGGGTGGTCGCGGAGGCGGTGCCCGTGCGGGCCGGCTTGGCCGCGCGCAGGCTCGGCGCTCGCAGTGTGGTGGTGGCCCCGAGCAAGACGAAGACAGCAGGTGGTGGCGAAGCGGCAGTGGCACGCAGGTGGTGCTCGCGCGGAAGATGTGGCCACGCACGGCGGCAGCGGCCGAGCGTGGCGATGGCTTGGTGCGGCGGCGGAGAAGGGAGAGAGGTAGCTGGCGGCGGTGGGGGAGTGGCCTGACGGGAGGGCCTTTTTTTCTGACGTGGTGCAGGGTCCGACCGCGTCAAAAAATGGCCTCCCGTCCGCCACGTCAGCACGGCAAGTATCATTTAGACGACGTGGTGTCCATCGGCAAATATCCACGATTATGGGATGTCTTCCCGCAAAACTTCACTTTCGCGGTGTCCCTGAGTTAAAACCACACAATTGCGATGTCCTATAGCAAAATTTGCCATAGATATTTTATTTTACTGTATTATTGTTGTGGAAATGTATATGATAAACAGTGCATGGCTATGTGGCTCAAAATGTCAGTTACTCCATGATGCATTGATGCAGGTTCAGTTCAGTCCACTCCATGGCACTTTGTCAGCAAGGTGCCACAGGATATTTGTCAGCGAGGTGCCACAGGATATACCCAGAGAGCTCAACTCACTCAGACTTCGGCCTGGTTTAGTTCCTAACTTTTTCTTTAAACTTTTAACTTTTTCATTACATCAAAAATTTTCTACATATATAAACTTTCAACTTTTTCGTCACATCATTCCAATTTCAATCAAACTTTTAATTTTATCGTGAAATAAACACGCCATAAGAGTGACAGGGAAAGAGACGAGCAGATCCATCATTCATACGTGTCAGGACAATATTTAATACTGCTCATGATAATGCTGAATCATCATGCTCACTTGCTCCAGACCAGGATGAAACAATGGAATCATCATGCAGCATCATCAGAGTAAAATAAACTTCTCATTCACCTGAATCGCCTTACTGCTTACTAGTACAAAATGTGCGAATATGGATTATGGAGTAGTATATACTGTTTGCTTGCTGGCTGGTGAGACGTAACCAAAATTTGAATTTTACAACTCAATTTTTAGGTTTTTTTAACGTACTTTATTTTTCAATATCATATTTTAAATCGCTGAGAATATATATAATTTAATTTACAAATTATTTTTAGTTGCTTTATTTTTTAAGAGATGCTTCATTATTCTTTTTTATTTTATAGATTATCAGCTGTGGAGCAAACGATGAGTGTCTGTAACTGAATATCTTTTTTACAGAGGAGGTAATACCGTAATAGCATGAGTACAGAACTACAGACAGGTAGAAGAAGAAGATGCAGAGTGAAGTTGTGGCTGTCCCCCGTCGTTAAGTGGTGGCTCCGTACTCCAATGCCCAACGCTACATCAGAGCAAGAAGCTGCTTAATTACAAATGCAGACATGTTCGTCTCTTCTAAGGCAACCAACCCCATTCTCTCTTCTTTTTTTCTCCTCTTCTCCTCTTTGGGATTCACACACATGTTCAGAGTTTCAGAGATGAATGCTAGTACTATATCTTTTTGGTTTTGGCACAAGAGAACCAAGGCATGGTCCTTGCATGTTCTCCTCCTCGTCGTCTTCTCCTTGAACCCTTTTCTACTGATGGGTACAAGCCATTGACAGCATTTTTGTTGTCAAGTCAATTTTATGCACTTGTTTTGATTGCTTGTCTTAGAAAAATACTAACATATTTCGGACAATAGCTGAAAACACTCGATCTTGCGTGTCAAGTTGGATTTTTGTGCTGCTACATGCCTTTTGTTCTCGAGCCCTGCCATTAATCAATCTTCCAATCATGGTGACACAAAAGTATTTGAAAAATGAAATACAGTAGTACATAATATAAAAAGATGTGTATTCCAAGTTGCACTGTAAAGAAAAGAGATGAATTGATGATGCCCTTTTTGTTGAACTGGCTACAGCATTTGCTCTATGAACAGGTAGGATTAAGAACTTATAAGAAGGAAGAGATGTGTCTAACCACCCTGAAAGCATCATCCTAATTAAGTCCTTGTTTTGTGTTCCCTTCCTAATGAGATCACATAACCCCAAAGATTAGGCACACCCTGGCATGGCATCCATCTCCATGAGACAAAACCCCAAAGTATCTGCAACCTATAATTCCAGGGGCCCTTCTCTGTCCCCCAACTTCCATCTTTACTGTATTAATATTGTGAATTTGTGAGTATTTATACTCAGATACCGAGGGAAAAAAGAAGGAGAAGAAAGAACACCCCAATAGCCCCTACAAACACAAAATAAATGAGTAAATAAAACCTGCCCTCAATGCTCTTGCTTCTCATTTGGTTTATCCAACCAAAATTTAATCTTAGTGTTGATTTTTTTTATTGGCATATATTGGCTTTTAAACGGCGAATAATATGAATATAAAAGTTTTACTAATAAAATATTTTATAAACTGTATTGAAAATTTACATTTATGTTTTATTGGCAGAAAACTTCTTGATGCCGTGAAAGCAACATATTAGTATTTATTATACTGTGAAATCTTCTCGATATCTTTGCTAGCAATAGATGTCACTCTCTAGTGCATGGCATCATATATCACCGTCCTTCACCTGATTAAATGCCACCATCTTCAGTCCACATGTATTTTCAATTTCATCACCAAAAGGTCCATCATTCATCATCCATGAAAACTCTCAGAGGTACAGATGAATTAGGTATGTTCATACCTACGCCCACGTACACACAAGACACAACATGTGTCATATTCCCTATTTAATTTTAGAGGAAAAAAGAGCAAACTCACACACGTCATTCGATTAGCAAGACATGTACTCTACAATCTTTGAAAAAAAAATAGAGCATGAGAAAAAAAAAAGGGAGATACGAGAAGCACCGATGATGAAGCAGTAGAATAGTACACGTGTAAGATAAAAAAAAAGAATAGTACACATGCAAATATAGTTTTAATTTAGATTTCAAGTCCATTAAAACAAAATATTAACAAGATTATCATGGTTGTCAATATAAATTGAACATTTTTATAAAAAAAATTTAACCAATAAACCTAGGTTGTGTTCTACACTGTTATTCCAAATAGATATATTCTCGTTCTTTTTAAGCACACTAATCAAACGGCTAAATAATCAAACGGCTAAATGATGCGTTTAATGTAAAAGTTTTTTATATAGAAATCTATTTAAGAAAAGTCAAATAAATTTATTTCTCAAATTGGTAATAATTAATATTTAATTAATCATATACTGATAGCTTATTTCATTTCATGTGCCACTAAAATTTGCAGCCCAAACACACTTTATAATGAACCATTAGAGTAAGGGATCTAAGCAACAGAGCAAAATGAAGTCTTTTTTTTTAGAAAATAAGTTCTTAGAGCATGAAGAAGATAATCTGCAGTGAAGTAGCTGACATGCATGGTATCCCGAGTGTGTTAAGGGATGCATTCATGAGTGTGTTACATGTGGTGTTTGTGTTGTGCATATGAAATGTGAATGTACTAGTAAGACATAGTGCGTCCTCCGTATAATTGAAAAAAAAATAAAACAGATAAAAAAGCCCGGCACCTAAGGACATGAGTGGGTATCTGTCTTTTTTTTGAGTGTTTTAAGAGTCGTATTTGTGAGCGTCACACATATATCCGTATTGTCCATGACCAGACAGATACGCGTCTTCCGTATAATGTGAAGGAAAATTAAAGATAAAACAGATATAAGAAGATAAAAGAGAAAGAACAAAAGCAAAGGACATACTGATATTGTTTGTGAGCCTGAGAGGCTGTACCTCATGTACAGGTAGCCGCAGACCCGTCGGAGTCAAAACCGTTCCGTTCCCCCCCACCACCCCTCCGTTCCGTCCCCTTCACTCGCCAAAGGCGCAAACTTTACTACTTACCCCCACCTCCATCTCCACCTCCATCTCCCCTCCGCCCGCGCCGCCGCCTCCGGATCGCGCCGCCCCCGCCCCCGCCCCCGCCCCGCCCAGACCTCATGCTGACTACCCGCCGCAGGTGCTGACGCGACGCCATGGGCTGCGTGCACGGCCGCCCCTCCACCTCCAGCCCCGCCGCCGCCAACGCCTCACGTCGCCGCGACCACCCGCCTCCGCCTGCGGAGGCGCAGAAGCAGGGGGCGGATGCTTCTGCGGAGGCGGATGCTGCTGCGGGCGAGAAGGGCGAGCAGCCGGCCGTCGCCGTCGCCGCGGCGGGGCCGCCGGTGAAGAGGGAGCGGCGCTCGCGGTCGTCGAGGTCGGCGCACGCGCACGCGCACGCCGAGGTGCGCATCGGGGGGAGCTTCGCGAACAAGGCGCGCGGCGAGCAGGTGGCCGCGGGCTGGCCCGCCTGGCTCTCCGCCGTCGCCGGCGACGCCATCGACGGCTGGACCCCTCGCCGCGCCGACTCCTTCGAGAAGATCGACAAGGTGCGCCTCCTCCCCTCCCCTCAAAAAATCTCCCCGCGATCCACCGCCGCGGGAGCTCGCTCATCTTCGGCTCTGACTCTCGTCTCGCCATTCTAGATCGGGCAAGGCACGTACAGCAACGTGTACAAGGCGCGGGACTCGGTGAGCGGCAAGATCGTGGCGCTCAAGAAGGTGCGCTTCGACAACCTGGAGCCCGAGAGCGTGCGCTTCATGGCCAGGGAGATCCTCATCCTCCGCCGCCTCGACCACCCCAATGTCATCAAGCTCGACGGCCTCGTCACCTCCCGCATGTCCTGCAGCCTCTACCTCGTCTTCGACTACATGGTCCACGACCTCGCCGGCCTCGCCGCCAGCCCCGAGATCAAGTTCACCCTGCCCCAGGTCGGTCAAGATCCCATTTCCGGCCGAATTATGCGAAATGTGGTGTCAATTGAGGCTGATTGAGACTTCGAGAGGTGTTTGTGGGCGCAGGTCAAGTGCTATGTGCACCAGCTGTTGTCGGGATTGGAGCACTGCCACGACCGGGGGGTGCTGCACCGCGACATCAAGGGGTCGAACCTGCTTTTGGACAACAATGGCGTGCTGAAGATCGGGGACTTTGGTCTCGCGTCGTTCTTCGACCCGAACCATAAGCAGCCGATGACGAGTAGGGTGGTGACGCTCTGGTACCGGCCACCAGAGTTGCTGTTGGGCGCGACGGATTATGGCGTAGGCGTGGACTTGTGGAGCGCGGGATGTATCCTTGCTGAATTGCTCGCAGGGAAACCTATCATGCCTGGGCGGACCGAGGTTAGCTACATAATGATCTGTTATTGTTGTATAGTTATGCTTTAGACACCTTGTAGCACATATCTTTCAAATATTCAGTTCAGCACCAACCAAAGTTTCACTATTAAACTAGGAATGGCAATGGATACTGTTCAAATGCCATCTTCTGTAGTACTTTTCAAATAGGAATTATTTTCAAAATGTTTTCTTTTGGTCATTGAGCTTATCATTTATCTGAATTGTCTATTTGGCACACTGAAGTATGGTACAAACATAAAATGTTTGTTACCCCTTATTGCTGCTCAGTGCAGCAGATAGTTGAGAGTTGAGACTATTCCATCCAATCGACCTTCTATCTTGTGTTCTTGTTCATATAGCTGTTTTCTTGATTTATGTAATTATGTAATTCAGAAACATCTACATATCAAGTGATACACTGACATCTCATCTGAAAAGAAAAGCCTTCTCACCTGCCTTCAAGTCAAATCTTGTTTCCACTTACCAGCTGCCACTTCTGTTGTTTCAGTTCTCAATGACTTGAACCCTTACCTTGCTCGTCAGGACATAAAGCCTGTCCTATAGCGCAACTGTGTTTAATGTTATGTACTTTTAGTCAAAACGTATATTAACATTTTCCTTCTCATGATATTCTGTTGTTTTAATTATGTTTTTTTATCCTTTTAGGTGGAACAGCTGCATAAAATTTTTAAGTTGTGTGGTTCCCCCACAGAAGAATATTGGAAAAAATCGAAGTTGCCTCATGCAACTATATTCAAGCCCCAACAACCTTACAAAAGGCGAATAGCTGATACATTCAAAGATTTCCCACAATCAGCACTGCGACTTATTGAAACACTACTTGCAATCGACCCAGCTGATCGTTTAACAGCGACTTCTGCGTTAGAAAGTGAAGTAAGTTGTCCTAGTTTTTGCCATTCTGTTCCTATTTTATTGAAATGAGAAAATTGAGGTTCTGAACTTATGAATTCAAATTATACCTAAAATATTTCATGGCATCTCTCTGGCTTCTTTGTTTGGTAGGGTACTGTTCAATCTTTCTGCAAGTAACACTAGTTCAATTGTCTTTAGTGCCTGGGATAGTGAGATGGAACTGAGCAGTATCAAGAATAATAAACTGCATTATTGTCTTTCGTATTGTTTGCCATTAAGGCCGTTGTGATGCTAGAAAAATTAAGAGTTTAAGACTTCATTGGCAACCACAACAATGTTCAGAATTTCATCTTTAAGGTTCAAATAGGGTCATAAGCTCATAACTCAAATTTAATTTAGAGATCACCATGGGATTTTGACGTTATCTTTGCATATGTATGAACAGAATCCAATTTTAGCTATTCTTGGTAGCAATCTCTTTGATGTAAATGCTTTAATAATAACATGTTTTTCACCATAAACACAGTTCTTTAAAACGGAACCACATGCATGTGATCCATCAAGTTTACCCCAATACCCCCCAAGCAAAGAGATGGATGCAAAACGAAGAGACGAAGAAGCCAGACGGTTTGTCTCCCTACTACCCTGCCTTTCCATTCCTTTAGAAAGTTGTGTTGTTTCAGAATATTTGCTTTTGCATCGTCTTTCTGAGTTCTCTGTAATTTCATCTAAGTTCAAGCGATTTTGTTGATTTAAAAGAGCATGTAGCATGCAAACTGATACAACATAGACAGGTAAATGATCTTGCAATAAAAGGACCAGATCATCAGGTTGAATTAGGACTAGAGTCTTGAAATCTAGTTGAAATAGGTATATTGTCATCTTCTCCGGTATGCATAGGTGAGCAATGGAACAGAGGACATTACTGCTCACTTTGATGACAGGAATTCAATCAAGCATAACGTGACAAAATTGCATTCAGCATAGTGGACTATAAAGAAGAAAATGTATTTGTTGACTGAAAAGTAACTTCAGTGCACTGCAAGGCCATATAGTGATTTGTACCAAAAGACAAAAGTCTTGGTTGTTGTGCCAAGATTCCTGGATTTCTGGGAACTTGTTGAGTACTATATTTCTTGGACATCATCATGAGTCAAGCAACAAGTTGTTCCCCTTTCCGTTGCATTTTCAATATTTCTCTCTTCAAATATTCCCCTAATTGTAAAATATCTTTATTTCATAAACCTGACTTCTTGACCTTCAGCCAGTTTATTGGCTGATGTGAATGAGCTTTTGCACCCTATAAAATGCTCATTCGCTTATCATTTGATGATCAACAGTTTAAGAGCTGCTGGTGGTAGAGTTAATGGGGAAGGAGCTAGGAAGACAAGGACAAGGGAAAGACCTAGGGCTGTTCCAGCACCGGAAGCAAATGCTGAGCTTCAAGCAAATATTGATGTATGTGCTTTTTTTTGGCTGATTTCAGTTGCTCATTTGTTCATTTGCATGATCCGCCACAATCAGAAACATACTCCTAGAACAATGTTAAGCTCACAGCTCACTCGATCGTACAACTTGCAGAAAAGAAGACTAATAACACATGCAAATGCGAAGAGCAAGAGTGAAAAGTTCCCTCCGCCACATCAGGATGGCGCACTTGGATATCCTTTGGGTTGTTCAAATCATATGGAACCTGCATTTGAGCCGCCAGATCCATCTTCATTCAGCACTGTGTTCCCCTACGAGAAAGGCTCTGTGCCTACTTGGTCTGGACCATTGGCCGATCCTTCTTCAGGCAACCAGAAGCGAAAACACAAGTCTGGCCGCTCTTCAAAACAACCGGCTACCGCCCGTGCTCGATGATCTATTATATGATGTCTAGTGCATAAGAAGTCTTCAATACTAAAAAGGAAAAAAAATACTGGCAGCGGTTCTTGCAAAGTGAGACAATTTAATTGCAAATCAAGGCAAGCAACGATGAATTTTTTTTCTCTTAGATCCATGAATTCATTCCATGTAAGGATTCTTTTTTCGAACAGCAGTGTATAGGCCGGAGAGGGAGCTCAATTAGTCAAAATTCTGTACATTAGGTTCTCTTTTCCATTCTTACAAGCAGGCAAGCAGCTATATGTCATGTTAGATTTATGATTCAGTAATGGAACTTTCAGATCTACTTAGCATGTCACTGCAAACTCTCTTACTTTCAAATATAGCTTATGTACAACCAATCCAATACCATTTCATCTGATGTGGTTATCTTCAGAGAAGCTGGAAAAGAAAAATATACTAAAAAAAAGGTTTCACTATAATTCATTTCTTGAGCACAATGTCTGACAGAACTGCTTTTATATGCTCTCACTGCTTGTGTGCTGTTCACCGCGGCCTGATGCGTGGCCGGAGGTTGTACCTCCTCGAGATGGACGTGGTGACTGAATTTTCGCCGAATTCTTCCGGCAAAATGCTGCCATTTCCACAGATTTCTCTCGGCAACGCGAAATCTGGGTCGATTTCGCTGTCCACTTCGTCCTGCAGCTGCTCGTCGAAGAACCATGAGCAGTCACCAATGCTGCTGCAATCACTCCCAGTACTCCATGGATTCATCTGGTCTCCTGGGTAGAGAGAGAATTTGGTCAAATTCTGTACTGAGACGTCGGGTTAAATGGTAGTTGATAGCTAAGGACATTGGACACAAGTTGATAGGTTTTGGACTTTGTCACAACTGTACTGGCACAATGGCTTAACTATGGCTATTAATTGCCTTGTCTGAATGTGTACAGGTGCTCACCGCCACTGCCATTGCCTTCAATCGCCCGGACTTTCTCCATCAATGTCTGCAGTAATTGATGGTTCAGTACTTCGTAATCCCTACAGCAAAAGAAAGAAAGATCCAATCAGATTCATCGCCATAATGTTCTTCTGCTGCTACCTGTATGATAAAGATTTACTGTTTGATGATAATCTACAGTGAGAGAGAGAGAGAGAACCCTACTTGTATGTGAAAATTGAGTGCAAGATCTGAGCTGCTGCGGCGGCGAGGAACACCGATCTGATTAACAGCACTTTGGACATGATCAAGAACTGCTTACTGAAGTCGTCGGCTCCGAGCTTGATGACGACGGTCTCCAGCACGAGCGTGATGCAGAGTCCTAGCAAGAAACAGACGAACAAGTTCATCAGAATAAAAGAAGTCAGCAACGCTTCTGTCTTTCTGAATGTTCTCAGTGCAGCGTGACGCAGGGTCCTAACAAGAAACAGATGAAGATGTTCAGAAAAAAAAAATCAGCAACGTTTCAGTCTTTCTGAATGCTCTCAGTGTAGCATGATGCAGAGTCCTAGCAAGCAACAGATGAACATGTTCAGAAAAAAAGTGTTTCTGTCTTTCTGAATGTTCTCAGTTTAGCGTGATGCAAAAGCCTAACATGAAACAGATGAACATGTTCAGAAAAAAAAATTCAGAGAAGTTTCTGCCTTTCTGAATGTTGGCAGTGTTTGTGTTGAAGTCCGAAGAATCTGACCGAAGTAGAGGTGGCCTCTAATGGCGAAGGTCTGCTTGGCGCTGGTGAGCAAGTAGACGAGGAATGTGATGCAGCAGTAGAAGAAGAAGGCCTTGATGAAACGGGACTCCACAAGAACAGCGTTGTGGAGGACGTAGAGCTTGTCCAGCGCCGCGAAGATGCTCGCCTGCTTAGCTCTGAACTCTTCCTGCATACACAATAAGCAAATCAAAGCTTGCGTAAGAAACGCCATGAAAAAAGTTTGTGAGATTGATGATAAAAGAAAACCTGAGCTTCCAGTATAGATTCTGAATTTTTCATGAGGTCATCGTGAGCGTGCCGGATCTGTTCTTGCCGAGACAGGAGCTCCTCCTGCTGTTGCTGCCCGAATTGCGCCAGCTTCTGAATGGTTTCCCTGCAATTTTGCTGGTGTCTAGATCATCCATTACTTGTTCATCTTCATATCATAGGCCCTATTCTTTTTCTGGATTTTGGATTTTCATTTGCACGCTTCCCAATCTACTAACCAACGTGTTTTGTAAAAAAAAATCTATATAAAACTTTCTTGAAATACTTTTGTACAAAAACTTTTCAACTTAATAGGAGTTAATTCATTCATTTGTACCCTCAAATAGCTATCACAAAAAAGCTGAGGCTTATTTTAAATTTAAATTTTGATTTTAGAATCAGTTTCAGAGGTTGTCAAGCTCTCCTCTCAAAATAGTTCAAGAAGATCAATAAAAAGAAATCTACCTAAACTATTCTTAAAAATCAAACTTTGAAATTCAAAATTTACTTTGGACAATTGGACTGTCATTTTCAGACAAAAGAATGCAAGTTTGTGCTGTAATTATTATCACCTGCTCTCCTGAAGAGCTTGTGCCTGAAAACTGTAGAGATGATTGAGCCCTTCCATCGCTTTTGCCTGTCCATCCAACAACAGCATCTGATTCTCCAGCGATCTCCCGGCGGCGGCGCCGATGTCGTCGGCGGCGCTCTGCAAGTCCACCATCCTCGCCGCCATGGCGTCGCCGACGGCCCTGACCTCCCTCTCGATGCCCATGGCCTCCTGTCTCAGCCTCCCCATCTCCTCGCCGATGCTCCTGTACGACGCCTCCACCTGCGCCATCCCGGCGGCGAGCTCCTCCCTCATCGCCGCCTGCCCTCCCCGCAGCTCGGCCTGCGCGGCGGCGATCTCCCTCGACCGCTCGAAGATCGCCGCCGACCGATCAAGAACGTCGCCGATCCGGGCCCGGACGTCCTCGGACGCCGTGGCGAGGTGCTCCGTCTGCGACATGATCGACGACAGCGATCGCCGGAGATGGTCGGACTCCCGCATGATCTTCTCCGACCTCTCCTCGATCGCCTCCAGCTTCTCGCGCGCCGACCTCGCCGACCTTGTCAGGTCGTTCACGAGCCTCTCCGTGCTCCGCTTGAACGCCTCGGCCCTGCAAGCCATTGGAGATGACAAGAGAGATGAAGTTGGCCGGAGTCGGAGAAGACGACGACGACGACGACGACGACGAGCGAGCGAGCTTACTGCAGTTGGTGGCAGAGGGTGTTCGTCTCGAGGAAGAAGGCGAGGAAGACCTTGGACTCGGAGTCGGAGAGGCGCTCGCGGCAGTGCACCATGTCGGCGTGGCCGTGGCCGTGGGCTGCCGCGGCGTCGCACGGCGGCAGCGGCGGCCGGCCGGAGTCCTCCTGGAAGCAGCCGCTGAGGCGCCACGCGAGCCTCGCCTGCAGCTCCTTGTCGGCCATGATGTCGCCGCAGCTCGCGAACAGGCTCCGGTACGCCTCGCTCCAGCAGGTGGTGCCCGGCCGCCCATCGCCGGCGGCGATCCTGCGCCGCGCGTTCTCCATCAGCTTATCACCTCTCGCGTCCCCGCCGCCGTCGATGGAGAATTCGGCCACCGGAACGCCGCCGTCTAGCGGCGGCGGCGGCGCCATTGATGGCTTCTTGGATGACGAAGAGAACATGCTCCATGAGAGAGCATTGGTTGCAGAGCACAGTGATGATATCATCACCAAGATCACAACAAAAACAAAGCCTCTGATTCTTCTCATACTGAAATTCCCAGTCTGCATTCTGAAGAAAATTTTTCGCATTCATCAAATCATGATGAACTCGAGTGTTGCAAGAAAGAGAAATCGGTAGTGTTTTTTTGGTAATTAAGATTTAACACTTTCCCTGATTGAGTTGAGCAGATCTTAGGAAGTTGTAAAGTCTATGGTTCAATCACTAACATGCATGGAGAAAACTATTAATTCCATCTCATTTTACACGCTGAATTTGAAGCCCGCAAAGCTGTCCATGATCAAATAGAATCGCAAATGTTACACCCCAATACAACCTAGAAGCCAAAGAATATCTAAGGGTGAAAAACAAATTTCACAACGCGTGGGGGGAGCTTAAGATTCTGAGAAGCAGCTGATTGGTAGCCAGCTTCTAAGAATCTGGAAAAGCTAAGTTTCCCAGCTTCTAGCTTCTAGTTCATTTTCTGGATTCTACAACTACAGCTTCTCAGAATTTACACCAAAAGCTGAACTGTTTGGGGGAGTTTCTGATTCTCGGAGAAGCTGCAGCAGCTAGAAGCTCCACAAACAGGGCCTTAAAGCTAGTTGGGCTTGGGCCATGCATGCATGTGCCCTTTCAGTTTGCAAATTCCACAGCTACTATTTGCAGTTTTGCACTGCACCCACTTTCGGTTCCTCAGTTACTGTGCAACTGAAGCGGCTAATTAAGCGATCAGCCTTCCTTTCCCGCCAATAAAGGTTGATCAGTTGTGGGGTTAATACGTCTTGTGAACCTGCAATCTCAAGCTACTTTGCTATACATTGCCATGGCCTTCAGGGAAGCCTATTGAAGCCGGCGAACTTACCACCGGCGGCGAGTCCTTCCGCCTCTGGTCCGGGCGTCGCCGGCGCCGTCTGCTCTGCAGCAGAGCACCGGACTGATGTTATGTAGAGAAAAAATATTACTACTATCAAGTTAACGTGGTAGTATAAGTAGGAGTAAGTATTAGTCCATTAAATTAGGGGAAAAAATAAACGGTTTAGTTTCGTTCTACTATCAGTAAGCATTGTAAAACACCTCATGTAATGTATATTGACTCAACAGTCACCATAGGACATTCGGAGACAATTTTGAAGGCTCAATGTGCTCCCAGTAAAGTAAAAGAAATGGTGACACTTGATGGTTCAAAATGTCCGAGAATGCATACCTGAATTTCATGCGTGCAATTTCACCAAGGTTTTCTACAAAACTGTCATGGAAAAGCACATGGCAAGGTAAACAACGGAATGTGTTGTATACATGTTATTGTCGGGCAGGCTAGTGCTAGTGTGCTACCCATCAAATAGAATGTAGTCGAATACAAATGGCTGGACTGTGATATTGTCCGCCTGCCTGTACTCATGTAATTTCAGCTGCTAGGCCATCTGGGCACCTGTGTTACTTCTCATGCTGTTTCAGGTTGAGAGGTAAGCTTCTCCAAATTCACAGAAATATCAAGGCGCAGCTTTGACATGGAACTGATCATTTGAGGGATATCTGTAATCAAAGCTTCCTCCAGCGCCTGATAAAGACATGGATGTCGTTATTAGATGATAGTAATGTGAAACCAACAGATACACTGTTATAGAAAGCAGCAAAAGTACTTCGGCAAAAATAAGTGGCTTTGCCTAGTTGACAGCTCTTTATTTCTTCTAAAATTTACCACATACCAATAATCACCGAAACTCCAGTCACACCAGCCGTTATGGACAATTAGGTATTCTAAAGCATGCTTCTGATTTTTCATACTAGAGGTGAGAGCTTAATGTCCCAGCATGAAATAGGCTGGCCACCTAGTGTTGCAGGGAGAAAATAATCCGTTCCCGAATTGCCAGGAAAGAAAACAGGTCATTTAATCTCACCTTCCTATCATCTTTCTTCTGCCTTTTTATCACCTCTGCTGGCCATTCAGCAACAAGCTTCTGGAGCTCATCCGTCACCAATTGTTTCTTCTCATCAGGTGAATGCTACATTCAATCACAAACTTTCATCAGGAAAGCGCGTCTTGTCAAGATAGCTTACGTAAACATCAACTACCCAACTTTTGGTATCTAGCTTCGCTATATTTCATGAAAAATATATTCACTTTCAAACACCAACGATAATAATATGATATGGAGAAGGTTGAAAATACCAGCAAAGATGCAGTACAGTATTAAGAGTAAGAAAGAGACAGCATTACCCGGAGAGAAACCAGAGTATGATGATGGTATGGAACAATCTCTATTTTGGGAATACAGGTCTAATAGCAATTAGCATGGAGAAACCAACCTTGTGAAGTAATTTAATCATGGCAGCGGCGCTTTCTGGTTTGCGCTCAAGCAGAAACCCCTGCACAAGACAATTCATAAAGAGTCTGACATTAAAAACCTGAAGGTGGGCAGCATAAACAATTTAGTGAAAGCACTGGCATAGTTATGCTAAGAAGGGGCAAAACTTATAGTAATGAATCATGGACAATAGTCGATAACAAATATGCTACTGTAGTACTATTTATTCTGAACACTACTACTTCCTCCGTTTCATATTATAAGACTTTCTAGCATTGCCCACATTCATATATATGTTAATGAATCTAGACATATATGTGTGCCTAGATTCATTAACATATATATGAATGTGGGCAATGTTAGAAAGTCTTATAACCTGAAACGGAGGTAGTAGTTCTTAATTTGGCATGCTTAAAAATACCATAGATGTGAGAAATTGAAGCTACATCTTATTATAAGAATAATTACCTTTACACATGCAAAACCTGTTGCAAGATTATAGCGTTTGACTGACTTGCCTCTCAGGCTATTGATGTTCCATATAGATTGGGAGTCTCCTGCAGAAGAAAATGTTTATTAGATAGTACAATACCAAATAATATCTTATCAAAGTTGAAGGGTTTGAAATACAAAAGGGCAATAGAGATTTGAGTATCAAACAACTGAAAATAAATGTTCCGCAAACAAACATTTTTTTCTGCAATATCACTGCTCCTAATGGCTGTAATCAAGAAGGTGACTACCACAGTTGTGTGCCATACCAGTTGAATGAGAAATGAAACATGTTTAGTCCATCCACAACTAATAGCAACTTCTTGTAAGTTGTAACTTGGGTAAGGACCAGAACAGCAATTAAACATGCTGGGGTTTGTTGTAAGTTTTAACACTGTACTAAAGATAAAAAAACATAAGAAGAATGGAAGTACTTACCAACTTTGGCAGCGAAGTCCATCCAAATGTCAAATGAAGCACCATGCAGCTTGACTTCAGACTTCACGAATCTTCTCGCATATTTTGAGAGTAAATCCCATCTATCAGCATTATAGCAGATGCTGCACAATACAGACAAATACATGGCATCATAAAAACTAAAATTATAACTTAGTGTCTACAAAATAAAAACACCAAAAAGAAATGAGTGCACTTTGGTAAATAGAATCTAAAAACAGATGAAAACATACCTGAAGACTATATCAGCAGTGCCTGGTTGCAATGGCATCGAATTTCTCTGAAGGACTTGCATTATACTTCCCATTAGTTTAGTGTCATTTTTCTCTTTAGCATGTTTCTGGAGAAGGGAAAAAAATCAGTACCAAACGACATTTAGGGTGATAAGAAAAGTTTCTATATCATTGAATACCAGTAGATAATGAGCAGAACCAATGGTAGGCGTAATTCCATAAACATTATGCTTCCATAAAACCTTCAAACCTGGATTTATACCACAAAAAGAATTAATGGTGGGAAATAGGATTCTGAGCTCCATTAGCCTCATGTTTTGAGGTTAAAATGGAGAATTTCCAAACTGAAATGAAAAAAATAAAGTTCACCACCTCACGTATATTAGACACACAACTTCTGGACAATAGAGAAAGCTAACATGTCCACATAATTGGAAGTGCCACACATGCCTAATTATATTAGCATTATATAATCCTTTAAAATTGATCATTTAGACCTTTAAATAAGATCATACCATAGTCAAGGGCACCAACACGAGCACAAGCCTCTGCAACTTTCATGCAAAGATGATCGTTGAAGTTTGCGTCGATGCGAAGATTTGATAGTCTCTGTATCAATAAATCGATTTAGTTTAAAGATCACTTCTAGTGACAGAACAAATGTAACAGAGAAATATAAAGAACTACCATCGCCTATCTCATGTAAACGAACATCAGTCACGTATTAATAGTGTTACTAAGTGCTAACTATAAAGGGGATAAAGTCAGGGACCAAAACTGGTTCTTTACAAAAACAATTAGAATCTTCCTGTAGCAATCCAAAATATTATGGCCTTTCAAATTATTCAGTTAAAATTTCAACCAATATATTAACCATATAGTGGAAACTCTATGCTAACTCAGCTGTCCAAGCATCCCAGCTTCATAGAAATAAATGAAAAAACTGGAAATTAAATATTCGCACTGCACATTCATCAATGCTATCAATGAATGTGTATATGTTCTGACAGTAATGCAATCTAACATGCAGTGCTCTAAGCCAGCTTTCCAAACAACACACAAGGGATACAGAAAAGCCAAGAACAATGAGCAAGGATAGAAGGCGAAAAACACTCTGAAGTCTTAATTTATGAGGAAAATCCACTTACAAATACTCTTAGCTTCTGCAAAATCTGAATAAGTAGTTTGATGTCCTCCTTATTGGAACAGCTACTTATCATTGACCACAACCAGGCATTCGGAGGCATGGTCTCGGCTTCAACAGATTTCAACATTTTCTGATACAGCTCCACTACAGCCTCTATGGACATCCATGACATAAGAAAATGGGAACATGATATCAAACAACTAGCCGTTATGAAGATTACCAGCACAATAGTAAATGCACTGATAATGATCACAGCAACTAAGCATTTAAATTGAATAAGTTAACAAGTGTCACGGGCAAGGATTTGTGGAGAAGAACCGGGATGAATGGGGATAGATTGGATTATAGTAGATGAAATAACAAGGAACGGTCCTGAACCTAAACGGCGCGACGCTCTCCGTCGCACTGAGAAGGCAGGCCGATGGGCACTAAGATAAATCTTGATCTAATGCCTAGCTGACCTGGGATAGTATCTCTCCTTATATAGATGGAAGACTCCTTAATCTAATCCTAACAAACCCTAATCCTATCCAATGAGCCTAGGACGCCTGGCCCAAAGCCCATGACATTACTCCCTCCTTTTTGAGCAGCTCGTCCTCGAGCTGCAGCAGACCCTGCTAGACTCAAACAAAACAATCTGGCCTATGTTGCCTCCTTAGGACATGGACAGGAGGACCCCATTCGGAAAATTAGGTCCACACCAAAACGCAAAAATCCAAATCTGAAACCCAACTTGACTGTCCCGTGTGGTAAACATAACTAAGCCAACATGGATCTGCTGCTGATTGAAGCCCAGCCCACCAATCTGGCCCATTTAATTTGCGCAGCTGAGGGAAAACAGAAACCCCATCTCCCTCTATCGTAATCAGCGCCGCCCCAAAAAGAGCGCGATGCGCCTGCTTCACGCCGCGCCACCACGGTAACAGAAATCGTTGTTTTCTCCGCCGCCGCTGTTGAAAGTAGCGACGGAAACAGCTCCGCCATTCTTGCTGCTTCTGAAAACCGCGCCGCCACAATACCATGGATGCCTCCATGCCGCCAAGTCGTGTGGCCATCAATGTGGGCAGAAGGGCTACTGGTGGACGACCCAGAGAGACTGCCACCTTTGGCTGCTGCAGGTGACGCATCCTGCTCCCAAACGGCGCTTGAAGTCTTGCTGCCGTGGGCGCAGGAACGTCATGGCCCGCCGGTCGGATCGCTCGGCGGCTCCAAGAGGCATGGCCTGCTCGGCTGATTGAGCCGCCAGAGCCTGGAGTTGCGCCGCCAAATCCATCATCTTCCTCGAGATCTCAGCAAGACCTTCGCTGATGTTGGGGACCGCAGCGATCTCGGTATCCATGGGCACGGAACCGAAGCTCTTATACCAAGTTGTCACGGGCAAGGATTTGTGGAGAAGAACCGGGATGAATGGGGATAGATTGGATTATAGTAGATGAAATAACAAGGAACGGTCCTGAACCTAAACGGCGCGACGCTCTCCGTCGCACTGAGAAGGCAGGCCGATGGGCACTAAGATAAATCTTGATCTAATGCCTAGCTGACCTGGGATAGTATCTCTCCTTATATAGATGGAGGACTCTTTAATCTAATCCTAACAAACCTTATCTAATCCTAACAAACCCTAATCCTATCCAATGAGCCTAGGACGCCTGGCCCAAAGCCCATGACACAAGGGTACCACAGGGGAGAGAACTAGTGGGTGAATAGGAAATAAAAATGGCGGCCAGTGCAGAACATAGAATTCTGAATAACCTGTAGGTTGATCAATGTCACTTGCTTCTGTTGAGTAGTGAGTTGCAGCCATGTGATAGCACACCGATTTCTCATTCCGCCATTGAGAAGATATACTTGGCGATAGCAAGTTACCTAATTTATGCAAGATATACATCATTAGCAAAGTTTAATTCATTCAAAGTACTTCAATGGATAATGGAACAAACTACTGAATACAAGAGTTGCATTGTTGCAACAGTTAAGGGTCACTTAAGTCAGCTGGAAGCAGCAAACACACACAGTCGAACAAACTTGTACAGTAAACAAGGGAGAAATTTTTGAAAAAACAGAGTTTGTTCTGTTATAATCAATTCAGCTGTACTTCCGATTAGCTACATTCAAGCTGCCCCCCTTTTTTTCAATTTATTGTACTAGATACTGGAATCCAGTAATACAGATAGCACTATGACCTCAATGTTCAATGCACAAAAGTCTGAATAATCAGTGCAGGGAAATTTGAAGAGTGCACTGGATTAACTATGATCAACTGACAAGACAAACATAAACCAGTGTAAGAATGAAGCAAAGCAATTCACCATATGAGAACTGCAGTGTAAGTATCAGCTTCGACAAATACACTTAATTACAAAAGTATGGAACTTGTCAAGTATGAAGCCTACAGCTGAACAAACATGCGCAGTCACAACATCCCAAGCACCTCACTTGTCCTGATGCTTGGCAAAATAGATGGTCTTGTAGTTGTCTAAATTGTAGTGCGCCGCAGCCTTTGGCATGAGATGACTTTTGTGCTCCCTTAGTCTCATGAAATGTAGTTGTGCTGGGAAAGCTTGAAAACTCTTTTTGTTGTCGGTAGAATTCTAAACTAACCCGGCCTTTCTCCCAGCCAATATTAATGGAAATGGGGGAAGCTCTGCTCTCCTAGTTTTTTTTTTTAACATCCCAAGCACCTGCTATTTGATTATGGGGCTCGTAGTCCCCAGCCTTGTGTGAAATATTACCCCACTAAGTCACAGGAATTCACTGCATTTTCTAGATAATAGTGTACTAGCGAATATCTCCAATGCCAAAATCCTTAAACCCTCGCGTAAGCCCTACAGATCCCCTAATCCCACACCTTAAACACTTGATCTTAGAGCAGGAACAGGATTAACAACACGAACCAACCCTCGAGACCATAGAGCTCAAACGCCACTTTGGAACCATCAACCATACAACTCGAACGCCACTCCCCCGCGCGCCCACCACCCGTTCGACGAAATGCCGAGCCAGACAAACCGGTAAGGAAGCAGCGCATCGAGATCACCACAAGCAGATAGCGAAACGCGCGGATCAACGTCCGAGAGAACTCACGGGGTAGGCGAGACGAGGACGTGGCGGAGAAGCTCCTAGCCAGGAGCGGAGGGGCCGGTGACGGCGACGGCGAGGACGGGACACCATCGAGACGGGGAAGAAGGGCGCCGCTCCCGGCGAGCGCCGCGCACCCGGGGCGCGGCGCGGAGAGGATACCGGAGGCCGCCGGCGACGTGAGGAGGCGGCGCGCGCGCCCGGCGGCGGCCTGCATCGCTGCTGCTGCTTCTCCTTGCGGCGGCCGGAGGGGGAGACGGAGTGAGCCTTCTGACGAGAAAGGGAAGCGAACCGAGTTGAGCTGAGATTTTTGGCTCGTTAGAGCGTCTTAGTTATTTGGGCCATTTGTCTGTGCCTTCACAGATGATTGGGCTGGGCTTTACTTAGATATTTGGGCTTGCTTTGATGGGCCGTTGACCAAAAAGTCCAAAACAGCGGAGCGGCTTCCCTCATCAATCTGGTTCGCTCGTATATGATCCAATGGTGCATACATGTCCACGTTTCGCTTTGGGTTTATGCCACTCCTTTATAGAAACTGCACAAGGGCAAAAATCCTAAACAGATTTCACAAACGGTTTTGCAATTTCACTTGTGACAGATTTTTAGGCTTTTATCTTTCGGTTTTTCTTCCATAGGATATTGTATCAAGATTTGTGTTTTTTCAACGCAACTTGTAGTTACAGAGAATTTATACTTACTTACAGAACACTTACGCTTAGTTAAAATGCACCAAAATTAGAATTTTTTTAACAACTATTTTTTCTTTAGATTTACGATTTTTATATGTTGTCCTTTTTTTTTATTTCATTGAAAACGGGTTGTATCCATGGGTTGAAAAATCTGTTAGATTTGAAGTTTCAGATATGTCGAAAAGTCAATAGGTAGTCCCTTTTAAAAATTAAAACCCGAAAAATCATATATGCAAACCTGCAATCTGTCACTGAATTGAACATTTACACACTGCAAATTGCATGCCAAATCTCGCAATTCGCGTGCAAAAACACCAAAAGCATCAGATACAATTACACATGCGAATCAAAATGCAAGCTCGACATCAATCGCGGTAATTAACAATGGAGTGCTAGTAAGGCTAGAGGGAGAACAGCTTGCGGAGGTTCATCGGCGAGATGTACTTGCTGTCGCCGTCGACGATGTACTTGGCCATCACCAGGTTCGCCGCCTCGCTGGGGTGGTACGGGTCCCAGAACACGTGGCTCTTCCGGTCGCCGCACATGCTCGACGCCGGCCCGCACGGCACCATCCCGTCGTACGTCCCGCCGTTCCCGCAGCACGCCATGCTCGCCGTCTCGAACCCTGCAAAAACCCAACCTCGTCTTCTACCTTGAGATCGATCGATCGATCGATCAACTCGTCGAAAGCTATGGCGATGAAAGTTGAGCAGCTAGCTAGCTATAGCTCACCGTAGGAGTCGTAGTTGGTGATGACGTCCATGACGAGGTCGTAGACGTTGGCGAGGCAGAACTTGGCGCCGGCGAGGTCGCCGTTGAGCTGGATGAGGAGCTCCCGGAGGCGGCCGTTGTACTGCGAGGCGAGCTGGTTGGGCAGCTTCACGCACTCGTTCTCGCCGACGCGGTTGATCGTCTTCTGGTACGGGATGCACCCCAGCGGCCCCACGTTCGCCACCACGAACTTCCTCGCGTCCAGCGTGTACAGCCTCTGGATGCAGAAACAATCAACGGCGGCGAGCCCGCCATTGCCGCCGCCGTTGACCAGTCAGTCAGTCTCCGGCCATCGATCCAACATAATGTAGATGATGGGCCTGTTCACTTTAATATAAAAAAACCTTACCAAATTTTGACAATGGCAGGATTTCTTATATAGATATCAAAATTTAGCAGCAAACTAAATATAACCACTTTTTTAGCAACTTTACCAAAATTTGGTAAGGTTGAAAATGACATCAAAGTGAACAAACCCGATGTCACTAGCTGGGTACTCCCTCCGTTTCAGGTTAGACGTTTTAATTTTAGTCAAAGTCAAACTACCTTAAATTTGACTAAGTTTGTAGAAAAAAGTAATAATATTTTCAACCAAAGATAAATTTATTATGAACATATATTCAATTATTGATTTAATAAAATTAATTTAATTTTATAAATATTGCTATATTCGTCTGTAAAATTAGTCAAACTTGATATAGTTTGAATTTGACCAAAATCAAAATATTTTATATCCTGAAATGGAGTGAGTATTTACGAACCGTGAGCTGCTCCCGGAGGTGGATGATGAGGTCGTTGATGAAGCCGTCGGGCGACTCGGCGACACGGGTCCCGGCGGAGAGGACGGGCATGAGGTAGTTGTTGAGGAAGTCGTTGGACCCGACGGTGATGGAGAAGATGGCCTTCTTCTTCAAGAACTCCTTCGCCTTCGCCTTCCCCAGGAGATCGTCCAGCTGCTTCCTCGTGATGTTGAAGTAATCCACCTGAAGATCCATTCCGATCCTGTTCACCTGAATAATCCACAAGAGATAATTAATTTGAAGAAATATCGATCTATATATGAGTTTCTTGTGCATGCAATTAACAAGATCGATGTGAAATTAAATTTTGTCTGAAGAAATTAATTAACCCACAAAGATTCTTCCTGTGCCGTTGAGAATCCCGGCGCCTCCTGACGCGTAGTTGACGCCGTTGAGCAGCGCGCCGCCGGTCGTGTTCGGGGCGAGGAACGGCGGCGAGTAGTCCGTCTGGCCCAACATTTCTCCTGAATTCGGACAAATTAAAGAACAGTATTCAATCTGATTCATCAGTTTGAAATGACATGCATTCATTGAAATACTGAAATGTTCAATTACCGATGATGTCGGCGATGGTCCGGCCGTTGGTGAAGCGGCCGGTGGGCATGCCGCCGGAGGCGGCGAAGTCGATGCCGTTGGGCGTCATGTTGGCCTTGGACAGCGAGGGGATGTAGTTGTTGTTGCCGGCGTCGACGAGCGAGTCCCCGAAGATGAACGACGCGCCGGAGCCGAACTCGTACACCTCCTCCGCTCCGCTCACCGCCGCCATCGCCGCCGCGCAGACCACCGCGAGGAACGCCATCGCCGCCGCCATGCTTCCCCGCGGCCAAGCAGCCGGCAGCAACAACAGCATATGAACAAAAACGTAGCTATAGCTAGCTTAGCTACTGTTTGTTCATGATAGTGAGCAGCAAGGACGTACGTACGCTCAGTGCAGATTGCTAGTTTATTAGCTCAAACTGGAAATGGAGTGATTAAATTGATCGTATGATGGAGTTGGTAGGCTAATAATAATGTGGTTTTGCGTGCAGGTGTTATTTGGTTTTGACAGTTGATGTTCTGTGGTCAGCGAGATAGATATGGTGGTTTAGCAAACAATAGTCTCTCAAACCTTCGGGTTTCAACTTTTCAAACCTTGTAAACTCATCTGCGACCTGCATGATCTGCATGTTTGGGGAAAAGCGACGGCAAATCAACCTGGTCGACGTGCGTTGGTGTCCAAAAAAACCGTACTTTTTTTCTTCTTTTTGCATACTTTCTTTCTATCGAGATCGCGAGTCCGTTGTTAGGTGGAATGTTAGTTGGTCTGAACTGAACTAACCGAACAGCACGGCTTTTCCAAGCTTGCGGGTGAAGCCTCGTCGTGTCTCGTCGTCAGGTGTTTGGTGTTCGCTTCGGCGGATTCGCCATGGATGGATGGTGGATTCGATCTCCGCCGGTGTACACGTAAGGCCAGCGCGTCTTCGTCTGCTCCGGCGTTGTACGTTCCGACGCGTCCCCCAGTTATGAAGCCTCGGCCTCGTTCGGATGCCTGCACGATGATTTCAGCTAACGTAGTGCCTATGTGGCACTTAAAATTAGAAAAAACAATGGGACCCACATGTTAGTGGGTGAAGTCAGAGAAAATAATGGGACCCACATGTTAGTGGGTGTCCGATTAAAAATAAAAAATATATAGTTGGTCCCACCTTTTTCTTTTTTTTTCTTTCCTTCTCTTTTTCTCTCTTTTCTCCTTTCTTTCTTGTGGGCTTTGACCCAGGGATAGAGGATCACCGGGGATCGAACGACAGACGACGTGTGACGGGATCCCGCAAGCAACGGCCGGATAAGGGAGGAGGAAAGTGGCGATGAAGAGCGATGTTGGGGACAAGGATGAGCAGGGAGGAGGCGGAGGGGAGCGTAGAGAGGTCGATAGGACGACAACTGGGTCCGCCATCAGTGTACCGGAGATCAATCAGAGGAACTTCGCCGGTGGGTCCGCGATGAAAGAGGATGATGATGAGGACATCGGCGGCTTGGAGGACGGCGTCAGTGATGAGGACGGGCGCCACTGCGCCCAATCTCTCACCTCCATATCCCCACCGCAGTCGAATCGAGTTATCGCCGGTCAACCACTCGTCGGATCCCTACCTGTAACCATCGTTGTCGTGCTCCCACGCACCAGCATCACAACGATGGTTGAATCATCCTCCTTTGCTCCTCCCTTCATTTCCCACATCCTGTGGCTCATCAGCGCGGAGAAGGACAGCAGCCTATGACCAAGCGCCGGATGCCAGAAAGGAGAAAACAGAAAGGAAAAGAAAAGGAAAGAAAATAAAATGAAGGCGGGACCCACTACAATTTTTTATTTTTAACCAAACACTCACTGATAGGTCCCACCTTTTTCTCTGACTTTAAGTGCCACGTCAACGTCCCGTTAGCCAAAACCGCCGTTCAAACCACCTTAGGACCTTGCATTGGTTTTGGGAGTTCAAGAATGAATTTAGATTCGGCGATAAATTGAGGGAGCTAAAGTGAACTTATTCCACGTGAGTATCCCATTCCGACCCAAACAGTGGCAGCTCGTACATGGCTATCCCCTTGCAGCCTAATCCGGCCGCCGCTAAATAAGTCCACTTATCATCTCTAGCCTTTATTGACTTTTAATTGGTATCACTAAATCACAATACCAAAAATCTTTACCCTTAATTTTGGTAAAACCGTACAAATGAGGTCCCATGGTGGAATAGATGATTGTTTTGACTGATGTGGTATCCTAGTCAAAAATAAAAATAAAAAAAATATGCAGGGCCCACATGTAGGTTAGGTCCAAAATGAGGGGTGAAGATTTTTGGTATTATGGTTTAGGGGTATCTAAAGAAGAGGGCCACCGCTGGCGCAAGCCTCCATCTCGGCCTGTTTCATCCCCACTAATGGATTAATGTTACTTTTCATTAAGTCACATTACTTTAATTGTTTAAATCCCTTGAATAATCAATGTATGGTTTGAATTGTCTTTCTTTTTTTCTTCTCTAATGACGTCGCATCACATTAGTTTTTGTCTGTAGAAGATTGATCTATATTTGGTTTGAATTATCATTAAGCATATTAATTATCTTAGTTATTTATAGTTTCTTTAGCAATGGTTTGATCACAGATGCAAATTATACAATGTAAAGTATAACGAGTCACTCGTGTTTACCTTAAAAAATAAATTCATCTAAACTTTTTTTTTAATTTTTACCATATACGCTCAGTAACACGCAGGGTTTTATCTGTTGGTCTTATGTATGAGCTCCCAAAGAAAGATGGTCTCTAGGAGCTAGCATCCGCGCTTGGCCTGCTTCGAATAGAAAGTATAGAATAGAGATGGACACTGCTAGAAGAAACCCCATAGACTCTTGAACTCTTCGTCCCCTCAGAAACTACTTCATCCATTTCACAATGTAAGTTATTCTAGCATTTCCCATATTCATATTGATGTTAATAAATCTAGATAGATGTAGAAAATGCTAGAATGACTTACATTGTGAAACGGAGGGAGTACACAATAGATGACTCCTCATCTAGTACTTTCTCCGTCTAAAAAAAAACTAATCTAGGTGGGGATAGGACACCATATGTCTAGATTCGTTGTTCTAAGTGGTGTTCTATTCCTATCTAGATTGGTTTTTTTTTTGGACGGAGGAAGTATTTCAGAATTTGCAGTCCTTAATACTGTAGGATTACGCTATCCATGTATATATGTCACAGTCTCTCTGTGGGAGTCCATAACCATGTTGCTTGGTTAACCAATCAATTTAAGTCGCAACGACAGCTAAGTACAGTATACCATACGGCCGGCCGTAGGCTGAAGCAGCAGTGGTATTGCTAGACTGTTGGTACTTGGTACTACCAGTATTCAACATGTCTGACTAGGACAAGAATATAAAACTCCACTGTCTCCGTTTCAGTTTGCAGAGCAAGCCAAAGACGCACACAAGTGGTAGTTACAAATGGAAGCTTCTACTGTTATTACTTCTACTTGGTAGCGTAACCACAAAAGCTTATCTGAATTTTCGCTGACTGATCCGAAGCCGAAACCATCACCAGTCGACCATGGAATTTCAACTTTTACTGCATATATGATATATACGGATGATCATAGGATGACAGATTGATAAGTAAGTATATAGTAATAGTTATTTACTAGTATTGCAGATTGGATAGCGTACAATAGATTGCAACTTCACGCATCGAAGCAGCTAGCTACTGATTGTCAGTTTCATCAGGCTTCATGGATAAACTGATGGCCGATCAGTAGGGGCGGCCGGGATGAATGGATGCTTCAATTTGTCAACTGGGAATTTTCCCAACATTGTTTGCACAATCCCAAGAAATTTCTCTTACAGTTATATTTCTAGGGTCGCTTTCGTCGAAAGAATAATTTGCACGGTGTTTGCATCAGAATTCAGAAACCAGGGGTTAGTTCTCTACATAATCTATAAGCATGTTGCATGAGTCAACTCTCTGAAAATAATTTGCTACCTCAAAGCTGCTATCGATGATCAGATGTTCTTTGCTATATAGATGGATGATCATCCCCTGATCGAAGACGATGCTATCTAATTTAGTTTGATAATATATACACTCGATCGATCAGCTTAGCTATAGCTGTAGCTGCACAATATGGTTGGCCACCTCCTGCTGCTTTTGGTAGTGATCATCATCTGCTACGCACCGACATCGTCGACGGCAGCCGGCGGCGAGGTCCCGTTCTACGAGGATTGCCCCAGCACGGCGGACGGGACGTACGCGCCGAACAGCACGTACCAGTCCAACCTCGCCGCGCTCGCCGCGGAGCTCATCGAGAACTCGACGGAGTACGGCTCGGCCGCCGGGTCGTTCGGGGCGGCGCCGGACGCCGTCTACGGCGTCGCGCTCTGCCGCGGCGACTCCAAGGGCCCCCTCTGCGCCGGCTACCTCAGGGAAGCGTTCGACGCCGCCATGAACCGGACGACGAGCAGCAGGCCGCTCTGCGAGCTCCGCAGGAACGTCACGCTCTTCTACGACCGCTTCCAGCTCCGGTTCGCCGACGCGGACTTCGTCTCCGGCTACGGCAACGAGCCGGAGTGGCCGCTGAACAACACCAACGTGGTGGACGCCCCCGTCGCCGGCAGGTTCCGGGAGCACGTCGCGGCGCTGCTGAACGCGACGGCGCGCGACGCGGCGGCGCAGCCGGACAGGTACGGCACCGGCGACTCGTGGTTCCAGGAGGGAGGGTCGATGGTGTACGCGCTGGTGCAGTGCACCCGCGACATGGATCCCGGCCGCTGCGGCGCCTGCCTGCAGCGCATCATCTCGGAGATGCCGCGGATGCTGGACGCGAGCCAGATTGGCGGGAGGGTTCTCGGGGTTCGCTGCCTCCTCCGCTACGAGATGGCGTCGAATTCCTTCTTCCACATAGACAACAGGACCCTGCATCTTCAGAAGCAGCCTACCCGTGCGTGTTCTCCTACTTGTCCATGACCAGAAATGCAGAATATAACAGCAATTTTTATTTTATTTTTTTCAAATGTTCACCATATCCTGATTAAATTGTTTCGCTTGCTTGGTTGCTGCATGATTTTGGTTGTGGTGCAGAACAATCGGGTTCTAGCTCGGGAGGTAAATGTAAGATTTTTCTGAACTTAATTGCCTGAAGCTTCACTCTCACTCGCTGAAGAAACCATACTAATTGGCGACCATCTGGGTTGCATGCTGTCATGTGCAGCCAAGACATGGCCGATCATCGTTGCTGTTGCCGGTGTAGCCGTATGCATTTCCTGCTTCTTTCTCTTCAGAGAGCTGAAGAGAAGGAGAAGAAGAGGTAGCATATAGTACAATTTTTGTTCATTGCAACATTGCCAAAAAATACTTGTTATTCATATGTTTTCTGGTGTAAAACAGTAGTAACATTTATTTCACTGGATATCTATTTCAGCACGAGTAAGATCAGAGCTGCGAAGGCTGTCTATGGCAGTACAGAATGTAATAACTCTCTGGAGGTTAGAAGAGGGCAACTCAGGCTTTAAACTGTATGATTTCTCTGACATAAAAGATGCGACTAATAATTTCTCAAGTGAAAGTTTGCTTGGAAAAGGAGGTTTTGGATCTGTCTACAAAGTAAGTTCAGACTCCAGAGTCACACTCTATTACTAGTAGCAAGCAAGTGTTTTTTTTTAAGATAGCTAACCTGAACACTGTCTATTTGTTCAAAAGAAAAGAATCAGTTTTTACCAACATCTTTTTGTTCCTAATGTCGAGCAACTATAAATCCAGGGGCAAATGCCTAGTGGACCTGAAGTAGCAGCAAAAAGGCTTGCAGCATGCTCTGGACAGGGTCTACTGGAATTCAAGAACGAAATACAGCTTGTAGCAAGGCTTCAGCACAGGAATTTGGTCAGGCTACTGGGATGTTGCATCGAAGGGGATCAGGAGAAGATACTCGTGTACGAGTACATGCCAAACAAAAGCCTAGATGTGTTCATCTTCGGTACACTTCCAACAAAATTCAACCCCCACTCTTATCAATTTGCACACTGCATATATGCTTAATGTGTAATCCCTTTGTTTCTAAATATTTGATGACGTTGACTTTTTAAAATATGTTTGACCATTCGCCTTATTAAAAAAAAATTAAGTAATTATTAATTATTTTTCTATCATTTGATTCATTGTTAAATATAGTTTCATGTATACATATAGTTTTACATATTTCACAAAATTTTTTAAATAAAACGAACGGTCAAGCATGTGCTAAAAAGTCAACGATGTCAAACATTTAGAAACGGAGAGAGTAGAGGAGGTATAACATTTTCTATTGTAAAACTTGGCGTCTGCCGCTACTAGATACCTTGAGGTATAAAAACTTAGTATAAAATTTCTCTATAGTTTCAGACTGATGAAATTAATTTGCAGATAATGTCAAACGAGAGTTGCTAGACTGGCCTAAACGTCTCCACATAATCCATGGGATATCTCAAGGGCTGCTCTATCTTCACGAGCACTCGACAGTCTGTGTCGTCCACAGGGACCTGAAAGCGAGCAACGTTCTGTTGGATGCCGAGATGAACGCCAAGATTTCAGATTTCGGCATCGCTAGGATTTTCGGCTCAAATGCAGCTCAATCCAGTACTACCAGAATTGTTGGAACCATGTAAGAATCAATCTTAATTTACTAGTACTAATTAATCAGTAGTACGTACTGATGCTATGTTTCATTCATGCACAACACCTGATGACCTGAATTGAGAGTACTAGTTTTTTTTTTTTTTGGAAAAAGTATTGAATTGAGAGTGCTAGTTAATTTCACTGGTTTTGTAATCTGAAGATTTCTGATTAACCATTTGTTTTCACTAATTTTAGTGGATACATAGCTCCGGAGTACGCATTAGATGGCGTTTGCTCGAGCAAAGCGGATGTTTTCAGCTTCGGCGTGCTCATACTTGAGATCATCAGTGGCAAAAGAACTGGAGGCTCATATCGATACAACGACGGAAAGCTATACTGTCTCATCGCATATGTCAGTCAATCTATCGATCAATTCCTCTTCTCTAATTTAATTAATTGTCTGAATCCGATCATCTGAAGAATCTCCTTTTGACAGGCTTGGCTGCTGTGGAAAGATGGCAGATGGCACGAGCTGATCGATGAATGTTTGGGAGACAGGTATCATGCATCGATCAGGACGTGCATGCAGGTGGCGCTTCTGTGCGTTCAGGAGGACGCAGAGGATCGGAAAGCCATGGACGAGGTGGTGAAGATGCTGGGCAACGAGCAGGCGGCGAGCCAGCTGCCGGAGCCGAAGCAGTCGGCCTACTTCAACGTGCGCCCCAGCGGCGGCGGCGGCGATGCGCCGCCGTCGGCGTGCAACATCAGCATTAGCATGATCACGCCGAGATAAATGTGTTTACAGTGTAGCTGTAACCAAAAATTGTAAATACCCTTGTTCTGGAAATGTTTTAAATTGTCTTTTTTCTTTTTGTGAACAAGTGGTTTTCAGAAATGCTACCTCTGAAAAAATTTGAGCATGAAGAGGAGGAAGGTTTTATTATATATTTCTATATACGGTTCCTCCATTAAAAAAATGTGGTAATATTATGTACATAGGAAGACATGCACTACCTCCGTAAAAATATAAAAAAGATGATTCCTAAACTGCTGATGTGGTATTTATAGCTCGCTAGGAATTGGTTTTTTCATGAACGAAAGGAGTATGCGTCACATCTATAAGTAACAGCTACACGACAAGAACACATGATAAGTCTACACAAGTGAGTCATTGTAATTTGTCGCTATACAGACCGCTTAAATTTTGTAGACAATTGGTACCCCTTTGAATCGCAGAATTGAGAAAACAGAGAAATAGGAAAAACGTAGGAATTGAATGCCACACTTATTGGATTCCTATGGGATTTTAAAACACGGAAAAGTCTTCAAACTGTCGTTTGATTAGCACACAGGAAAAACGTAGGAACCTTAGATACGTGAAGAAGAAAACATGAGGTGAGACCTCATGCTTATTTTCCTCCAAAATTGCTCTAGTAAGGTTCATTTCATAGGAATTTCAAAGGAATTGATAGGAAACAATCCTTTGTTTCAAAGGACTTTATAGGATTATTTCCCATAGGATAAAATCCTCTAGAATTCCTATGTTTTTTCCTTTGATTCAAAGAGGGTCTAGATATTGATCAGGTCCCTTCCTCTCCTAGGAGTTATGTGTAAAGTTTGGTGTGATGATTACAGAGATTTAGAAAACTTTTATGTACTATGTATGTATACAAGATTTGTGAACAGAAAATAAGTTCTTTACAAAACATATATGGTTCATAAAGAATTAGTCAATCCACACCAACTTTTTTTTAATATGTCCAGGGATGAGATATACTACTAGTGAAGAACACCATGATCCTACTAAATCAATATTGAATCAAACCATTGCTAGCTTATCAAATTTCTTCTATGTCTTTGCATTCCAAATATACCCAATGGCTGAAGCTGACCCAAATTCCTATCCCCATGACCCAAGATGGCTGACCGGCTCTCTGGAGATAGACTAAGGCTGCGTTCGGTAGGACATGTTCCTAACTCCTCCTCCTCGTTTTCCACGCGCACGCTTTTCAAACTGCTAAGCGGTGCGTTTTTTGCAAAAAGTTTCTATACGTATGCATTCTCATACGATAGATGTAGATTAGGTGTTTTTTATTCCATTATCTTGTACATGCGTATGGGTGGTCGGCCATCACATGCTTTGCTCAAGGTCGATGATAATTATGGGTTCACAAATAAACATGCCTAAAATAAAAAGAGCATAAATTTTCCAAATAAATATTTGTAAAGAAAATGATACCACTTGATATATAGGCTCGGAGCTAGCCCGACGACAATATCATAAATATTTTTATATATGCATGCACACGCATACACTTTTCTAGTAAAAATTGGCATAAATATGATACATGATCCAGCACCATATGTATAGGGTGTCAACTTTTAAAGCATCCCAAATCGCTCAAGTTTCTCCATTTTGGCAATTTGCGAGCTTGTGTCATCTCCTTCAAATGCATCGCAAAAGAGTATGTAACACACCCATCTACACGAAGAACAAACAAAAAGATTCAACATATACACATGCATAAATACAAACACTTCATTGATGGTTGATTAATTAATTTACCTATTCATCCACCAAGTCCATGATGAGATCATAATGTGGGTAGCCATTGAGCAAAGCGTCTTCCTCCTCCACACAACGGCGGCAACCACACCTTTTTCCAGTTGAACCCTCACCATTTGCCAATGTTGACACCGGTATGGTGGTGGTAGCAACAGCGGTAGCAGAAGAAGAACCAACATTAGCATTAGCATTAGCATTAGAATACAAGCGAAGCCTATTTCTCATGGCCTCTTCGATTAGATCAAGCTGATCACGCATAGCAGAAACCCTGGGATGATGATCAGCATCAGGAGTCCGCATCGGTATCGACATCGGCATCGGCATTGGCATCGGTGTGAGGATGGCTGACGCAATGGAGTTGGGATCGTCCCTAAGCTCGGCGGCGGAGTGGGCAAAGAAGCAGATCCGGCGAGGGCACCGCGTGCCGGCGGAGCACATGCGCGTGCGGAAGCGGGACGGGTGCAGCCATAGCTCGAAGACACCATGGGCGTAGCGGCAACGGAGGCCGTGGGCGCAGCTGGGCACGGCGCCCGGCGCCGCCTCGCGCGGGCGGTAGTCCGGGCACGACACGGCGGCGTACGCGAAGCGCCGCGTGTCGCGCCGCCGCGCGCGCTCGCCCTTGTGCGCGTAGGGGCACGACGTCCAGTCGTGGCTGGACGACCGCGGGCACCGCTGCACCTTGTAGACGTGTATCCAGAAATCCTCCGACATGGATGCCCAGAGACGGTGGCCACGATGAGCCCATGCGCCCCACTTGGTCGGGTCAATGGTTACTTCTTCTTCTTCATGGCCGATGATGCTCGTCGTCTGTGCAAAAACATCATGCATATGATGCATAGCCATGGCCACAAAAAAATGTATATATGCAAGCTAAGCCTGTGTTTGCAATGTGCTTTGAAGAAGAAGAAGAAGAAGAAGAAGAAGAAGAAGAAGAAGAAGAAGAAGAAGAAGAAGAAGAAGAAGAAGAAGAAGAAGAAGAAGAAAAATGCTAGGCTAGATGCATGTTAGAAACTAAACATTAATTGGTATGAATGTTGTGCATATATAGGGCTATATGTCCTAATGCATGATGAAGGATGTGAGAGGGTTATGGTGATGGGTGTATTGATATGGGGAGGGATGGATGCATTTATAGTGATGTAGGTGCTTGATTTTTACATATTGAAATGAGTAGGACCTTTTTGTCCCATTTGTACTTTACTTTCAAAACTGTATATACTTTTGTTTGTTTGCATTTCTTTAACTGACATCTAGACCCTTCCTTTTAATTTATAGGAGACTCTTTTGTGAGAGAGATTTCGTATATATCCATGTTGTGGTTGGTAGGGATGACTAGGTAGGTAAGGTTTTTGCCTTAGCTAATGTGATTTGCAATGAGGATGATCGAGATCAGTGTGTTTATTATTATATACAACATCTCTTTATGCGAGTAAAGCAAATCAGATTGGCTTTGTCGCATTGTCACATAGTGTCTTATTTAACGTGTAAAGGCACATGTGCTTCCAAATCAAGAAGTCCATGAAATTGGGTAATGTTCATTAGTTTGTTTGCCCTTTTCCTTTTTGCCTTTCCCTTTCTTTTTTGAGTATTCAATAATGATGTTGAACTTATTTATAAAACTTATTTCATAATCTTTCTTGATCCACATTTTAACTTGGTTTTACTAGACATATATAACAAGAACTAAATTATTTCTAATGCATGGGTATATTGAGCTAAGTTTAGCCAAACAAACTAAGTATAACTCAAGCACATACTAAAATGAACTATAATAAACTTAAGTTGTATATATAGCACCCTGCCGTTAGAAACAAGGTATATTTTTCTTGAATCATGCATGTGTGAATTGAATTGATTCATGTGGAATTCCTCTATTTTCTCTACATTCTAAATATGGCATAAATAATTGGAAACATTTGAGAAGGATAAAGGACATCACTTGCAACATAACACATACCTTTTTCTTGAAGAAGTAAAATCATCATAAATAAAGGCCAATAAATATTGGAAGACATAATCCATAGATGCCATATGGGATGGGATACCAATACAAATTAGAATAATTTAGATAACAAATAGATAAGGATTTGACAACAATATCTAATGCATAGCAATAACAAATAACACAAGCTGAAAATTCATCATAGGATATCCATGTGTTCATACACAAGCTAGAAGAAGCACTTAGACATAAATGGGACATCGGATGGATTGATATCAGAAGGGGATAATATAAGAATTAGACTTAAGAACATGGGGGCATTTTATTGGGTTCAACCTAGTAGTATTGATATCTTGTGGTATATCAACAATGTCGATTCACAATTTGGATTTGAGAGAGGGAAGGAGAGATCGACGCTACTTATAGTCACGTGAAGGTTGGCAATAATGGCACGCAACATTGGCGCGTGGCATTCATACCGAACACACGATTTACCTCTTGGTAGATGTTTTTGTGTGCATCCCGTGTTGCTATTTGTCGCGTTACATATTACTGCAACATGGCATTCGTGCATCATGTTCTCATCAAGAGAATAGTATTCCTTTTGATAATTTCTTTTCATATATGCGTGTTTTCCATTATGTTATTGCTACTTTATTTATCCTACGAGGAGAACTCCTGATACACTACTCCCTTCGTTTTAAATTACTCATCATTGTAGCTTTGTTCTAGGTCAAGGATTTGTATCTTCAACAAATTTCTATAAATACATATAGTTTAACATCATAATATTTATATTTTTAAATTAATCATGACTCATGAGATACTTTTTAAAATAAATTCACATGTTGCTAAACTACATAAATTCCTAAAAATTCATGGTTAAAGATAGAAATGTTTGACTTAAAAAAAAGCTAAAATGATTTGTAATTTAAAACGAAGGGAGCATAAAACTTTGTGTGGCAATGCTAGTACTGTTTGATGAAGCACTTTATATTAATTCATCAAGAATTCAATACCTTTCATGGTAAGGCTCGAGAACCAAAATATATATGTGCTTCATGTGATTTAAAAAAAATCAATAATTGAGTATTCATATTCAGATTGTTCTTTTAGCAATGCACATATATTCTAATCCCTCTATTCTATATTATATAGTCATTTTAACTTTTTCTCCTAGTTAAACTACTTTTAGATTTGACTAAATTTATAAAGAAATTTTGCAACATCTAAACACCAAATCAGTTTCATTAAATATAACATTGGGTATATTTTAATAATATGTTTGTTTTGTGTTAAAAATAGGTGTATCCCCTACTTATAGGGTATATGTATGCGTATGCATTCAAAAAGATGAGTGCACACTCGTGCGTACCGTGTTCATTTTTTTCCTTAAAAAATGAGAGAAAAAACACCTTTTTTTAATTTGTTAATTTACTATAGTAGGTAGAGGCTGGATTAATTTAGGTGTGCGTTGCGTGGCGTATGTGAAGCTTAGATGTGCAGTAATTAACCAGCCAAACCATGCGTTCCAAGCGTGTGCCGCGGAAGCGAGGTGGACGACGAGATCGATCCCGTCAGCTCACCTGGCGCGTGCAGGCCACGCCCACGCATGCATTCGATCGATCAGCTAAGCTAGCAATTCAAGCAAAGCCACAAGCTGACTCATCGATCGATCGGTGTCGACTGTATGTAATACGTGGCGCGCACCACGTCATATAGCTAGCTTGCAAGCTATATATAAATCTATCTGCACACACGTGCCTTTTTGGGTTGGGGGTGGTAAGGTGCAGACAAATCTCACCAGCTTCGTTCCCCGCGTGCTGCCGCACCGCGCAGGGCGTTTATGTGCGCACGTGCGCGGTGCTGGAGATATATATATCCCGTGGAAGACTGACTTAGATAATGCTCTATCCACCCTAAAATATAAGGATTCACTGTCTTTAAAATTCTACGTCCAACTATATTAGTTATATCGCAAGGTCATAATGTACAATAATATCAGCAATAGAAACATTGTTCAGGCTATGGCAGCCCAACATCAGCGATTGACTTCCGAGTACAGGGCTAGCTAGCTATTATCTAACTTTTACTTAATTGTAATCCTAAAAATAACCATCACCATACTCTTTACCACCTTAATTAATTACTTGTTCATTAGTCTATCATATCTCAAGCTTTAATTTCCACCTGTGTCATATATCTGCATGCGTGTGTCAACTGTCATCCACCAGCATCCAGCTACGTAGTCGGTCGTGGCTGCATTGCATATATACATTCATATATGCTGATGATTATGATGATGATCGCGATGATGATGATCGCGCTTGTGGCTTCATATATGCATGCGTGCCTTCCCCACAAAAAAAAAAAAATATGCATGCGTGCCTATGTGCTGATGATCGGTTTTCCACCCTCTAGCTTCAAGCTAGCGGTGTGCTGCGTCACTCTGGCTGCCGTCGGTGCATTTTGTATTGTCCTTTTAGCACAAACCGTCTTCCCACTTATGCTAATTATTAGTAGAAGCTAAAATTTAAATTTCAAAATTAATTTTATGATTTTTCTTTAGTCATAATTTATTTTGCAACATTTATATAAAAGTTTCAACTATAAATTATTTTTTTTTCTAATAAGCGATACGCATAAGAACAAGCTGAACAATAATGACTCAGTTATTCAGGCCGAGCGCATGCATCGGCACTTTAATGACTCCTCAGTTATTCATCGGCACTTGCAATCGAAAAGCTTTGGGATCGGCGAAAGAAAATCGTCTCAATTAATGTACGTTTTCTTTATAATGAAATAAAATTTGTTCTTTGTTTAACGAGCTACAGGCTCAGTTAATCTACGTGTAGCTGATAAATATATACTTTATGTGCAGCGTGCAAGCTCAGAATCTACTCCCTCCATCCCAAAATATAATAACTTCTAGTCCTTAAGTTTTATCCCAAAATATAACAATTTCTTCATCAATATTCTCTTCTCATCTAATTATAACTCTTCACCATTTAATTTTCTCACCTACTTCTACTTCTAAACCGATCACAACTTTCTCCTATTTAATTCTACATGCTTTTTTAATACCCATGTTTAAGTCTAAAAATCTTTATCTTATGACACGGAGGGAGTAGTATTATCCATGAGAGCATGCTTAGCATAGAGCAGCAACCGGCTATTTACAAAGGGGCAATTTTGTTTATACCCGCACTTTGATGTCCAATATTGATTTTACCCCTATTTTTTAGGGTTTTCGTTTTTGCCCCTATTTTTTTAACCGAAGGTAAGTTTTACCCCTACTTTCAATGGACAAGCTAACATCGTTAAATCTTTGATGGAAAGACATTTCTACCCTTATTGTGTAGTTCATTTGCCTTCATCAATTGTGTATTTGCCCCTAATTATTGTACCTATATTCTACAATTCTCACTAACTTGTACAAATATGAAAATTTTGACATACTTTTGCCACAAATTTGATAAAATTTAGACAAAAACTGAAAGAATTTAGGCATAATTTTGACACTTTTTCTTTACAAAACTAGAAGACAAATAGCAAGCTGCAATCATCCCAAAATCAAGCAGATCCAAATCACAAATTAGAGCAACATCCCCTGTCAAAAAAAAAGAAGAAAAACTCAAGCAACTCCTCCCAGCCGCCATCGCCTCCAGTGCCGAGCCGCGGCCGCCATCGCCTCCTCCCGCCGCCTAGCCCGCGCAGAGCGCGCGCCTGCTCACCAGCGAGAGGAGGTGCGCATGGCCGACGCCCGCTCGTCGCCGCCGCCCACTCGCTGCCGCCGCCACCATTGCCTGGCTGGGTTGCCCCCGTCGCCTCCTGCGACGAGCCGCCGTAGCCATCGCCTCCTCCCGCCGCCTAGCCCGCGCAGAGTGCACGCCTGCTCGCCGGCAGGAGGAGCTGCGCCTGGCCGCCGCCCGCACGTCGTCGCCTGGCCGCTGCCCGCACGCCGCCCAATTCGTCGTCGCCTGTGCTGCCCAGATCGGTTTCGAGAGTGACCCGCGTGCGAGAGGAGAGAAGCGACTAGTATAGGGTTAGATATTTCCCAGGGGTAAAAAGGTAAATCACAAATTCAAAAAATCTTTATTTCATTTATTTCTTTATTTCTTAACTGCCATAAACCCGGGCTCACTAACTTCCGTCTAAACCAGGGGTAAACGCCTCTTTCGGTTAAAAAAGTGGGGGTAAAAACGAAAACCCTAAAAAATAGGGATAAAATCAATATTAGACATTAAAGTGGGGGTAAAAACGAAATTATCCCATTTACAAATTACACATCTCATCAATTTATCGTCATCATCGCAAACTTAACTCACGAACAAATGCAGTTGCTGTTTCGGCCTGTTAGCCTACAACGACGTGGGCTCGCGACTCCATCTTCCAGGCCTGCCCACTAGACATTTCCCATGGATCGGCCCATCAACTGGGCCTCTTCGTGTAAGACCTCCAGTTTCTGCTGGGCTTATAGCCCACACCACTCTCCTCCTCGACGGCCCAGAACGGGGGCGACCCATTTCAGGCCCACTAGTCCGCTCTTCCTCTTCTTTTTTTTTTCTTTGAGAGATATCACTTCGTGTTTAAGCAACACTCAGGGCACCCACAATGCTTATCTATAAGCTCTCTACAAGAGATCCATGTTAGCATATTTTCCTACTTAGAAGAGATTAAATGAAGAGAGAGAGAGCAAAGCTATCTACTAACCTTAACCTGGAGATAGTCTATAGAAAAACGAAACAATGGATTAGAGAGCTATAGATACCCATGTAGACATACCATTAAAGTGGTTTACTATTAATCTAGTCTACTGCTGAGATGTATATGTTTTATATAGATAGCTCCTTACTTTACCATTGTGGGTGCTCTCATGGTGAGAGATTACGTGGAGAAATGAGTAGGGGAGCAATCTGTTTCTTGCAGGTCTCTCTCATCATCTCATGATCGATTAGGTCTTCGTAATTCGTCGCAAATGTGTTGGTTCGCCTCCTCTTCTGCACTCGATCGGTGCCGTTCACGATTAGGAAACACGAGCTCCATCCAATCTGAGATATCCGGGCTCCATTTCTTTCTCCGATCTACGCGTCCTCACGTTCGCGTCGAAGCCTCGCTGGAGCCGCCAGCGACGGCCACCTGCCCTGACAGCGGCGGCGATCCATCCAGTGATTCATCGATCCTCCCTCATTTCTTCAGATCCAGAATGTCCTGGATACAATTTCTTCAGATTATTCAGTGACAAGAGTAGTACAGTAAATTTCTTCAGAATTATTCAAAGACAGAGTGGTGCTCGTTTGTTTAATTGTTTATATGAGAAATGCACGGTTTCTTGCGAGATCTTGTTGAACAAATCATGGATTCAGGAGTGACGAGACAGCGAAAGTTGATGTCTTTTTAGGGTCCCACCATCTTGAGGCCTTGGCATTGGCATAGCATAATCCGGAGGAGGGAGAGCCGCATATTCTGATTCTCTCTCCTCCTCCTCTTCTTCTCCCTCCAAACACAGCGCCGGGAAAGCGACCGCTGGGCTCCCACTCCGCATTAATACTCGGCCTCCTCCGATTTTGTTTGTTTTGTAACTTTGTTCATCCAATCCAGCCTCTCTTTCTTGCTTTCTTGGAGTTGGAGGTAGTAGCTCGGATGAGGTCAAATTCTTTGCCCCCTAAGCTTCCTTTCTCTTCTCTTCTCCCCACTGATAATCTTGTTCCTCCTCTTCTTTGTTCTTGTTCATACTATGCAAGGGTATAACTTGGTGTAGTTTCCGGTTCGATTCTGGGATTGTTTGCTCTGCATTTCGAGGCTCATCAAGTTGGGTTCTTTTTTGCTTGCTTATCTGATTCATTTGATGATGGGAGGTTGGTTTGGATGTGTCTGTAGGTTCATGGAGAGGTGGAGATGCGTCAGTGTGTTGGCTCTGGTGCTCTTGCTGTCAAATGCTTCCCATGGGAGAGGTAGTTTCATGTGACCCTTTGCCCTAAGTTTCCAATTTTGATGCTTGTTGGGTAATTGTTCTAAGTTTGCCTCAATGTATTCCAAAATGGGTTAACGTTTAACAGAACAAATAGCAAATCAAGGTATTAGTAACTGACTGCTTTGGTGGGAGAAAGCAGACCAATGCTTATGCAGGCATCTGTAATAAGGTTTAATTTTCTAGAGAAATGGGGAGTGCTGATGATGGATGAGATTGTCTTGTTCTTTTGATTTTACCAAGTTCTGGGTTTTGGCTGTCGGTTTGGTATGAAATGACCAGTAATTTACTGGAGTTACTGGACTAGTTGACCAAGTTATAGCTGTTCTGCTGTTGTAATTGGGGATGCATGAGCAAGAGTAGGTGGGTGACAGTTGGAATTTCTTGCTGCCCTGTCCTTACTAATATAATTGATGCCCTAATTGCTGAAAAGGAAGACAAGGTTGGTGGGTGAGTAGAAAATAACAACATTGGAAATAAAGAAGTTGATGGCAAGAAAGATAATGGATATAATTGTGCTCAGAGATTCCTATTATTCCAAACACATATTTGAACCTTAAACCTAATATTTATTGAGTTCTCAACTTCTTTCTTGCTTCCTTAAACTTGAATTCCACTTCATTACAGCTTGTGGATTCTTTGCATTCATAAAACTTTGTCTCAGGATCCTGAAATATGTGAAGTTCAAACATTTATAGAGTATTCTTTAGTTTGGCCTTCACCAATGCAAGCTTGACACTCTGTTGGTGAAAGTTTATTTAGTACTGCTATATGCTGCATGCCATCTGCCATATATTATATACACAACTTGATCGAGCATTTTTTCTGCACCACCTACTCCGATTGGGCTTAATTTCACAAGAAGATTTAGCTAGCAGTTAGCACAATTTTTGGGGCATTAATAGTTACTCGTCACATGGAACTGCTGATTTGAGGTTTAAGATTGAGCTTGAAGCTACCACAAGTTTACCAGGCCAGAACGTGATACTGGGGCCACTTTTCCTATAAGTTTGATGCCATAAAAATTGAGAATATGAAATCAGCTTTCGGCTTTCCTTCACTTATGAGCAAATGGGGCTTAATATCTTAAGCATGTCCAAACAAGTCAAATGTCCTTAATCAATTTTCTTTTCATTTGTCAACATTTGATTTTATTACCGAATATAATGTCGGTTCGTCTGCTGCATACCTTCGTATAGTAGATGTAGTTGATCATCAATGTTTGTATTCATGCTCTCATCATCAAAAACTGGAGTGAACTAACTTTTTTCATTATAACAGATATCTCTGTCCAGCACTCTCAGCAAACTTTGAACTATAGCCATACTCTTGCCATGACTCTTGTGGAATATGCTTCTGCTGTAAGAAACTTTTCCTTATTTTTACATAAGCAGTATGTGTTCTAGGTAACATTTCTGTTCATGTTTTGCATTTCACAAAGGCAACTGTCTCTCTTTCTTGTTTTCTCCTTTTGCCCCAAAATAAAATCAGCTACTTTAAAAATGAAAAAAGAAGAAGAAGAACTTAGCTGATGGCTCTTCGTTTTCTCCAGGTGTACATGACAGATTTAACAGCTCTTTATACATGGACGTGCTCAAGGTGTAATGACTTGACTCAAGTAAGAAGCCTTCAAGTTTGTTCTGTTCAATTCATATTTAGAGGGATACTCATTAACTGCGAAGTAAAGCTTATATTGTTACTGATGGTTGGGGGCAGAATCACCTCAAATGTCCGCTTGTCAGGATCTGCCATTCCTCTTAATGAATCATAAAAGCATTTTCCTTTTCTTCTTCTTTAGGAAAAATATTTCTTTTGTCATGGACAGGATAAATTTGTTGCTAGTTTTGATATGACTACATTTGAAATAGGGCTTTGAGATGAAATCTCTAATCGTGGATGTGGAGAACTGCCTACAGGTTCTTATCTTACAAATTTCAAACTAATATCATAAATTCTCGATGATATTTGAGTACATTAAGCGTTTAATGATTTTATTTATATTGTGTGACACTATGTGGGTGAACAATGTAACAGGCATTCGTTGGTGTGGATTATAATTTAAATTCAATAATTGTTGCAATAAGAGGAACTCAAGAAAACAGGTACACTGATTTTGCACAGTGTGTTACTGTTCCCTGTTCCCATGTGATTTATATCTTGATTTGCTTACTCAGTATGCAGAATTGGATCAAGGACTTGATATGGAAACAACTTGATCTGAGCTATCCTAACATGCCTAACGCAAAGGTTATTATCGCTAGCAAAGTGTTTCTATCTCCTTAAGTCCTTTTATTAAAAGAAGATCAGTGCCTTTTTTTTCCCCTAAAATATCTCCACTTCTCTGTTTAAAGGTGCACAGTGGATTTTTCTCCTCCTATAATAACACGATTTTACGTCTAGCTATCACAAGTGCTGTCCACAAGGCAAGACAGTCATATGGAGATATCAATGTCATAGTTACAGGGCACTCAATGGGAGGAGCCATGGCATCCTTCTGTGCGCTTGATCTCGCTGTAAGTACCCCCGAGGCTCAAAGTTTTACTAATACATCCAGTGTTCAGATTACAGACTCTTCTAAGACATTATAGATGTAATATCTGTATCACATTCTTTCCATAAAAAAATTGAATGCCATCATTGGTTGTTATGTAAACTGATACAGTCTTGTTCTTTTACTCTGTCCACAGATCAATCTTGGAAGCAATAGTGTTCAACTCATGACTTTCGGACAGCCTCGTGTTGGCAATGCTGCTTTTGCCTCTTATTTTGCCAAATATGTGCCCAACACGATTCGAGTCACACATGGACATGATATTGTGCCACATTTGCCCCCTTATTTCTCCTTTCTTCCCCATCTAACTTACCACCACTTCCCAAGAGAGGTATGCCTCACAGGCTTGCACATAAGCTAATTAAGAATGCGCTCTTGTACACTTAACTTGGCCCTGGCTTTATCTATTTTATCACTATAGCACACTTTATGAATTTTTGTATTAACACCCTTTTTATATTTACCATTAATAATACAAAATCAATGCCTAGTGCAGCAAGTTGTTAGATGCTCTGCACACCTTCCATGGGACAATGATACTAATCTAAATCAAATATGCTAATATTCTTTAGAGATGTGGTGTTACATCCTGTACAGTGTACACACATAATATGCTTGTTCGAATTTCAGGTATGGGTCAATGATTCTGAGGGCGACATAACCGAACAGATATGTGATGATAGTGGTGAAGATCCAAATTGCTGCAGGTTTAGAGGCTCATTTTAACAACCTAACAACTCAAATCTGGTTTTTTTAGCTTCTAATTATAATTTCTGTTCCCTCGTTTATTTCCTAGGTGCATCTCCACATGGAGTTTGAGCGTTCAAGACCATTTCACATACCTGGGAGTTGATATGGAAGCTGACGACTGGAGCACTTGTAGAATCATCACAGCTGAAAATGTTAGGCAACTCCAAAAGGATCTCGCCAGCAACATCATCGTCTCCAAGCACTCTGTCGATGTCACTATTGTAGAACCTAGTTCACAAACATATTGAAAGCAATTATGGATAGTCTACGGTATTTCTTTTATCCGATTTAGAGCAAAGGATGGATCCTTCCTCTTTTCTCGAAGATGAAGGCTTGATTAGAAATTCATTCAGATTTGGATGTACATACAGGGTTCTTTTCATAGCTTGTGAATATGTAGAGATGTACATAGGATGATAGATTCATATTTCATAGGTGTTAGTTTTTTATTTTTTCCTTTTCTGATGCATATGCTTATGCATTTTGTAAATGCAATAAAAACAAGAATAGTTCCACCCATGTATGAATATCCATACAATTATCTGTATCTGCCACTGTGTAAGTAAAAGATATATGATTATCTGTGACTTTAGGCATGAAACGGAAATATGAGTTCATTGCTGGATTGTGACTCTTCTGAAAGTGAACTTGGTCAGCAGATCGATCCTTGTTCTTTCAGCTATCAGTGCTGCACATTGGCATATGGCAATTGTGAGGTTTCAGATTACTTCTTTATTTCACATTGATCTTGAATATACTAAAAAAGTTCAATCAGAAGATACAGAATCCAGACCTCTGCTATTTTGCCTTTTTTTTTTCAGGTGAAGACATTCAGGTGGGCACTTTAGCATAAACAGATTACAGCAGGTCATCCTAATCAGGGTCCTTTTTTGGCTAAATACTGGATTATAGGGATTATAAATTAGATATTTCAATAAAAAAAACTTAAAATTGTAGGATTGAATCACAACAACTAAGCCAACCAGAGGGGGGGGGTGAATGGTTGGTATGCCCAAAAACCAATACTTTACGGAAATAAAAGTTACCCTCAAATTCGACGGATTGCAGTCTGACCGAAGTAGATGCGCCGGTCTGACCGCCTGGTTGCCGTCGGTCTGACCGAGATTGTATCTCTGGTCTGACCGTCGAGATCAGCTCCTGTCACCTGTCGCTGAAGCCGGTCTGACCGCAGGTCACCCGCCAGTCTGACCGCCGGGATGCCGCCAGTCTGACCGCCGGTGCGCCGCCGGTTAGACCGCCGAAACCCGATGAAACACAAATCGAAGAACTCTTAAAGTGGATGACGACTTTATTGATTCTCTCTGTGTTTACAAAGTGCACCAACAGTATTCCTTACAAAAATTTCGACTAAACTCGAAACCCTAACTCAACTCTCAACTCAATTGCTCTCAAAAGCGATACAGGGAAGCCTCACGCTCCCCCTCTATTTATATACCCGAGGTAGGCAGCCTAAAGCCACGAACCAAACTCATACTAGAAGTCCTAAACACCTTAGGAAACCCTCTAGTACAAGAAACAAACTTTATATAACCAATCATATCAAATTTAAACTCCTTCCAAATTCGACTCCGCATCCCATACGCACACAATACCTCCATCGTATGCCATATGGAATCTTCACGAACCACGTGTATCAACTCTAGCCTAAGTATCCCGCATGATCTCTGAGCACCACGAACGTCGTCTTATCCCCAAGCCGACTCCCGGTCCATCACAGCAAATACTCTCTCGAGGCATCTAGTCACCTACACATGAAATAAACAAAGAAACCATATTCCGAGACCAAGCTATCTCCAACTTGACTCATTAGTAGCAAACAACAGTATTACATACTCATAGTATCCATCTAGAAGCCATAATCATGAAACAATCACGGATATCCAAACAAACAACCCGAAACCGAAATCGACACAGAGTCAGCCGATCAGACCGCGGGCTGCGCCGGTCTGACCGCGCGATACACGCCGGTCTGACCGGCAGCACATGCCTGGTCTGACCGGACCACATCCAACAGTACCTGTAGATTCACCTGTGAAATCCAATCATCTCCAAAACCACTTCAAAAATAAATTCCAAATATCAAAACCAATAATCTCCGATGCCAATTGTTCATCACAGAATAATAATAAAAACACTTTGATTTAACAAAAATAAGTGGTTAAACAACGTATTTTTTGAAGGTTTTTAAAAGACAACGTTTCTTCCGAAGTTTAGAGCAAATACTCCCTCCGTCCGAATATATTACACTACGAATCTGGACATAGGTTATGTCCAGATTCATAGTTTATGTCCAGATTCGTAGTTTTAGGATGAGTGTAATCCTAGGTTGTACTAATATATTGGGACGGAGGGAGTAATAATTTTCAACAATCCGATAAATAATCCAAAAAGATCTTTGCGGCTTGGCCTACCAATAGCCGTTTGATCTAGATGTACGGTCCAGATTGAACATCTAAGCCAGGGTGAGAATGAGATGGATATTTTCATATTAGTCCCACCGAAGTCCCATTATTTCACTATCATTTCCCCAATCTCCACCTCACCTGAGCCGTCGCCGGAGCTCCGGCGAACCCACGGCGGCGGGCGGGCGGGCCCGAGCTTCGCAGATGAGTGGCGTGAGGAGGGCAGCGGGGCGGCCCAAGATCGGCGACCTCGCGACCAGCGACGTGGTGGTGCGGCTGCGGACGCCGGAGGGCCGCGACGAGTGGCTCTACTGCCACTCCGGCGTGCTCGCCGCCGGGAGCAGGTACTTCGCCGACCGCCTCTCCGACGACTGGCCCACGTGCCAGATCCTCGGCTCCCGCTACTGCGTCGAGGTCCACTGCCAGGAGCTGGACCTCAGCCCCCACGTCACCGCGCTCCGCCTCCTCTACGCCGCCGAGCCGTGCTCCCGCTTCGGCGTCCGCGGCGCGCTCGGCGTCCTCCAGGCCGCCGCCCACCTCGCCTGCCCGCGCGTCGCCGCCGCCTGCGTCGACTACCTGGAGTCCGCGCCGTGGGACGAGGCCGACGAGGAGGAGATCCTCAGGACCATCCCTTGCCTCGGCCCCCAGTACGAGTGCGTCCTCGCGCGGCTCCGCCCGATCGATCCCGCGCCGGTGGCCGGCATCCTCCTCTCGGCGTTCCGGCACGCGACGTCGACGCGCTCGCCGCCGCAGGAGCTCAAGTCCGCGGCTCAGGAGCAGCTGGAGTACATGCTCACCGAAGACGACGACGCGCCATTGTTAGCCTTCGATGATGACATTGTCAGGTCTCAAGTGAAGGATTGTGTTGCAGCTTTGCTGAGCAGGTTCAGTGGGTTCACGAGTTCAATCCTGATGGAACAGGGAGAGGCGCCTTTAGGCCACGGCGACGCCGAGGTTCAGCAGGAGCTGCATTCTCTTGTTTCAGATATCTCCTGGGTCTGTCAGATCTTGAGCAAGCTGGAGATGATGAAATGTGTTGTTGTTTACTGGATTGGGGTTTCATCCGATGTCGTTGAAGCTGTCGACAAAGCTTGTGGGGGAATCAGCTGCCTGAAGACTAGATTGAAGGTGATTGAGGTGTCTGCAAAGGTCCTGGAGGCGATTGCATTTGGCAACATTGTTCTCCCAACCGAGAAACGTTGTGATGCTGTCAATGTTTGGATTGGCTTTGCAAGGAGAACAAAGCCTTTGGTCGGACATCCCGAACACGATGACGATGACGGTGATGCTGAAGCACCTAAGATCAACCTAGACAGTGAGGTCTGGCAGAGCCTGGAATCAGCTATTGTTTCAATTGTGCTAACGCTACCGTCGAACAGTCAAGCTGACATTTTGTCAGATTGGCTTCAGTCGAAGCATGCTAAGTATCCAGACTTGACGGAGGCGTTTGAAGTGTGGTGTTATAGATCAAAGGCTGCTAAGAGAAGACTCTCCTTCTTGAGCCATGCCAATAGGGTATCTTGATTCTTCACTTGTCCTTCAAAATCAAACACAGGGGAAATGTCCTGGCTGTTTGTACTCACTACAGGCAGCACAGAGTGCCTTTGACCGACATCAAATATCATGAAATTCCAATTTGTCCTTCCTTTTATCACTGTTGTCATCGGAGTTGCTTGAGTATATCACTGTTGTCTAAAATGATAGATAAACAAGATGCCATAACAGTTTGGTTGACAAAAAAACAGTGAGAATATATGTTCCAAATTCCAACAAGCATATTTCCACATGGATAGCAGCTTCTGGAAGGATATCTGGGTAGGAAAAGTACCTTTAAATCTTGTGTTGGCAAATATTTTCTCAACATGTGAGGGTCCTGATTTAAGGTGGCTGAATGCTGGGACGATGGCTCTTGGAGCATAACTTAGAACCTTTGGACAAATAGTTCATGTATGCTTGCACTCACAGAAGCGGCTAATGTTTGCATGATCTAGCTTTGCAAGTCTTGAATTATCTACTTACAAGTTACTTGGAAGGTTCTAAGTTGTACAATCAGCCGGCCACATATATCTTCCTTTGCTACATGGTTCTTTAATAACCTGTTCATCCGCTCAGGATTTCAGCAGCTTATTGAAGTCTTCTTGAAGGAACCGAAGACTGTCCAAAAAGAAAGAAAGAAAGAAAGAAAGAAAGGAAGGAAGGAAGGAAGGAAGGAAAAAACAGTTGCTTTGGGAAGGACAAAGAGAGAGCTCTGGCAAAGCTCAAATGGCAACAGAAATGCCGAAGACTGAACAAGAGTTCTGTCAGGCTTTGCATGGCACCTGAAGACTTAGCTCCTTTTTTTTTTTTGAGATGGTAGACTTACTTATACTATTTTGTAAACCATCTGAAACTGAACATGAGCACCAAATTAATCGCTGTTCTGTCTCTGGTGTACATTGGCATGTGGAGTTATGGAGTTTCAGATTCATTCCTTATTTGATGTCGAGCTTACCAACCAAAAACTAACTTCCGTGATATTCTACGGAACTCAGACCTCCTTTTCTATGCTGCATTGGAGATTCGGCTGCTCATAACAAATAAATAAAATTATAGCTATCAATATATCGAAAGAATTTGGGGCCTTTGTGCTTGGATTGCTGGAACTCTGAAGAAGGCTGAACCTTCTGAATCTTCAGCTCCTGGCATCCTCAAACTCTGCCAAAACCCAGTTCTCCTTGTTGTGTCACTGCAAAGTTCTCCCATTCCACTCCACTCCAGTAAAAACCACAACATTAATCACTACAAATTAATATGACATTCAGGCACAAAGGTAAATTTCTAACAACAGGAGTCTTTCACATTATATGATCATACACTCTATGGTCTATACAGTATGTCATTGTCCGCAAAATAATTGTGTTACATGTAAAAAAAACACAAACAATCCACTGTAGCATGTAGGTCTGTACACGCATTCTGGTAAGAATTGTTTTCTGTATGTATAAAACATCCTAATTCCTGAATGATAGGTATGGCACAAACTGTGACCTAATTACAAAGAGAATAAAAATCTTTACAGGTAGAATGCAATTGACACCGATCAAAATGCATGCTCCTTATCTGCGACAAGATGGTTTCTTGCTTCAACCAGATCATGATCTTCATGTATACCTTTGGAAACAACTAAAATACAACCATGGGTACAGTCATACAGCACCTGGACCATAACAGCGCGCAACTGTACCAACAAAGAGTATCCAACCCTCAACAGAAGCAGAGAAGATGTCTGGCAAAATTGGCAGCAATCGGGGAAAGAATTGCAACAATGTCTGTTTGTATGTGCATCAAAACTGCCTGCTGCCTTTGCCTGACCCTGATCTCTGTTTCTCATGGGCATCAAGCTTGACACTGGACTTGTGATATATATCAGCTTCACTGTTATTTTGTCCATTATGCAAGGCCAGCAGTTCTGGAACATCTAGACCATCATTCCTTCCAGAGCTACTGCCACTGCCATAACCTTCACTGTGATCCTGCTCGAATTCCCCTCTAGTAGTTTCCTTCCTCCCCAAGTCTGGGAAGTTCCAGTTAAGTGAATCGGCAGCATGTTGGGCATCAGGAACACTGGTTGTTCGTCGATGTGCTTTTGCCTTTGGGGTGGATGGGCAAGTCCTCGAACTCTTTGCAGAAGGTGCATTAGGATCGTAATGATTTGAAGCTAGATAAGAAAGTGCAGTGACAATATCCGCAATGAGGGGTCGAGATGTTGCATTCTCCTGCAAGCACATAGATGCAACAGCTAAAGCCTGGTACAAACCCCTTTTGGGATAACAACCTTGCAGCGATGGATCGGCCATTTGGCAGAACTTCCTTCGGTCTCTAAACAGTGGACGAGCCTGCAAATTATAAGGATAAGACACTTCACATCATGATGAAATTGAAACAGAACATCCCCTCTACACCCAAAGGAAGGGAGATAATTTAGTACAGTTGAGCCCACACATTCTTAAAAATAAAAGGATGAACCTACCCATGCAACAAGATTTTGCTCCCCTGCAGGTTGGGTGTGATCAATGGCTTTACGTCCTGTAATGAGTTCAAGGAAGACAACGCCAAAGCTGTAAACATCAGATTTTACTGTCAACTGTCCTGTCATGGCATATTCTGGAGCACAATAGCCATATGTTCCCATAACTCTTGTTGATACGTGAGTTTTGTCACCAACTGGACCAAGTTTTGCAAGCCCAAAATCAGATAGCTTTGGGTAATAGTCTTCGCCCAGAAGAATATTTGATGATTTGAAATCTCTATATATGACTGGTGGATTTGCCTTATCATGCAGGTACTCCAAACCCTTCGCTGCACCAACAGCAATCTTCATCCTTGCATTCCAGTCAAGAGGTTTCTTGCCTGGTGGGCGATCTATTAAGAAAGTGCCCCATGAGTTATAAAATGATAGATAGCAATGTCTAAAGAAAATTAAATGTTGTCAGTAGCAAACTACAGTAAGACAGTGAAGGGTAGCTGGCAAGTTCTCTTTCAAATCAAATAGGTCAGGAATCAACTTAGCAGGTTGAGACTAAAGCACAAACACAAATCTTGTGATAGGAACCATAAGGACATAACTTGATCACTATCAATTTAATGTGCATTGACATTTCAGGAGGTGTGTTTTAGTGTCTCTGAACTTAAACATTAATGTTTCCCATTATGTCACGAAATTCACAATTCTTCTTCTGTATGTTATGTGAAGCTCAATCAACTAAGTGTTATTGATAATGTGCAAACTTTGAACTGAAACAGTAAAATCACGTAGTGAGAACTGAGAAGCTTACCATGAAGATGGTTTTCTAGTGACCCCAATAGCATATACTCATAAACTAGGAGCCGCTGGTCACCATCTGCGCAGTAGCCAATTAATCTGACCAGATTAGGATGGTGCAAGAGACTTAGCATGAGAACCTCCACGAGAAATTCTCGGTTTCCTTGTAGGCCATTTCTGTCAAGTTGCTTCACGGCAATAACCTGCTAGATGATATATGCAAAAGAAAAGGTGTCGGACACTCAGAAAAATCATGCTCTAAATTGCAGCTAATGAACAAGAGCACACAGCAGCCAATGTTAGGAATAGCAAACCTGTCCATTCTCCATCTGTCCTTTATAGACACGACCAAAGCCACCTTCACCCAGCAGGCAGTCTTTTCTGAAATTCTTGGTGGCAACAGCCAATTCTCGGAAAGTGAAAATTTTGGCTGGACCATCATTCGCAGAGCTTCCTCCTCTTCGGACAGAATCGTCCTTCTTAATGCCTGAACCACGTGATGAGTTTGATCGATCTTGACCCATCCAACATGCAAATTTTAACATATTATTCCTCAATTCAATGATCTCATGAGAGAATGATAATACTTGCATGCGCAGCAACACGGCAACTAAATTACTGTACTCGCTTCAGACTACAACAACTATGCAAAGGGTGGACTGTAATTCAAGCAAGGTCGAAGCAAGCAATTACCCACGCGAAGGAATCAGTTAGAGACAACAAGAGTAAACAACACATCAAACATTACTGCCTGGTCGCCTGAGACTGAAAGTTGCAATAATATTATTATTATAGCTGCAAGCTTCAGTTCAGATTTTATTTTCCTCTCCCTTTCACTCCACTTCTCACGAGAACAATCAATTACATTTTCTTTCCAAGAAAGTAGCTTTGCGTCCCCTTCAACCCCACTATCTCAACAAGCAACCAGACTAACATTTACAAACCTAAAGCCTTGAATTATTTACCACAATCAAATGACCAAAGCGCCAATTTGCAAGAAAGCATAATAAACAATCAACGCTATGCAAAATTGACTTCTTTTTTCTCACTGTTACCCTTTAAACCCAAACGAAGAGAGAATTCGAGCCAATATGGATCACACCAATGCGCAGCTACCGCACTGAGCCACTCGCTGCAAATTCGCAACCAGCGAAACCGATACAGAATCATACAGCTGACCGGGGCAACGCCAGCAAGCGGATTCACCAGAAGAAATCGAATCTTTCCACACCCTGCGAAGAGAAATCGGAGGGGGGCTAAGATGCGGGATTCACCTGGTGCCGCGCTCGCCGCGGGCCGCGGACCCGGCGAGAGCGCCGCCACGCTCTTGGCGTCAACCCCGCCCTTCCCCGACGACCCCGAGCACGGGAAGCAGCTCATCTCTCTCCCGGTTCTTGAGCTTGAGGCGCGCGCACAAACTGAAAAAATGCCAGCCGATCCGCCGATAAATTCCAGCTCGAAGCTAAGGCTCGATCTTTATGGCTTGCGCACTGATCTGTGCCGCGAAAGCAGCTAAATTCAGGGAGATGTTGGGGGTGGGGGTAGGGGAAGGAAGTCAAGGCCTCGAGGGCACAAGGCTCAAGATGGCATAAACAAAAGGGCAACCAAGATGCTGGTGTAGTTGTTCATTGGGAGGCAAAAATTTAGTGTTGTTTTTAATAGCTCAGCAACTGAAATTTTGTTGGTGGCAGTTGTTGTGTTGTGTTGTACTGTTGTGAAGCAAGTGGATAGTACTTCCTCTCTTCTGTTTTAACTGCTCAAGTGTTTAGCTCCAAACCACACATTTTTTTGTTACTCTTTTCTAATCATATATTGATGACAAAACAGAAAATATGGCTATATAAAGTCTATTTTTCATAGCAAATTTATTAATAATATTACTTTTGTATTACCAGATCTTATGGCTGCGCAATTGTGCGGCTAGCATCGTTTTATTTTTTTCTCACATAATAGTATATATATATATATATATTCACATTTTATTAATAAAAATATACTAAAATAGCAATATAATTTTAAATTATGCACTAACTTAACCCAAGTAACTAATGTGTAATATTCATATATTTTATTGTATGTACATGATATTTATTAATTATTTTTTCATTCCGAATTGTAATTACATTCCTATAGGAAATCTAGACTCTTCTTCTAATATTTATTTTTTTTTATTTCGAGGTTTCACTATTTATATATTTCTATATGAACTCTGAACTCTTCTTTTAATATTTCTTATCTTTTTAATCCTGAATTTTAGTTATTTTTAAGTTGTATTTCTACAAGGACTCTTGACTTTTCTTTCATTTGTTATTATTTTTAATTTCAAATTTCAGTTATTTTAAAATTATATTTCTATATGGACTATAGACTATTCTTTCACTATTCCTACTTTTTAATTCTGAAGAGATGAGCTGGCTGCCTGGTTGATTAAGCAAGCTTATGATGTACTCAAAGCTTGAGATGATTAGTATGTTTCTGGACACATGCAAACGTGTGAAAGGTCAAAGGCTCAAAGCATGTTATGTTCCGAACTGTTGATAAGCTCGATATTTAATTAAGATATACTCATGTAAGAGCCAAGACATCTGCAAAGGTACCATTAAAATAGCATAGCAAATGCAAAGGTCAAAGGTAAGCTTGTGTGGATTCTGACATTATTGTTTTATGGTTGGTATAAATGTATTCTTTTTCAGTTAAACGATTTTTTTTAGCACGGGAAAAAAAGAACGCCATGTCTCATGTTAATTATCATGAGGGTTTCTGTGCATAAGCATGCATGTACCACTAGTGGAACAGTATAATTTGGAAAATCTTTTTTACAATCTTTAACAAGATAGTTTAATGTGTTACTTGTAACTACAATTACAAATCATCTATAACTATCATGTTCTATATTTTAAGCGGATTATTTGCTCCACACTTGAAAAAAAGGTTTGCAAAAGAAAACTTTCATCTAATAGACCACTTATTTTACAATATTTATCAATTATGTTTCTCATAATATTTAATTTATCCATATAATCAAGTAGATAATCTATACCAATAATTGGCTCGATAATAAAAATCAATAGTAGACTTTTTCATGAAAAAAATCAATAGCAGACAGCGTACTCGCTGATAACAAGGCGTATGTATTGATTTGCTCGATTTTAAAATATAACAGTACAGTCTCTCGGAAGTACTTATATGGATGAAGAAGTATGCGTGATTGAGATAAGTATACGCTCGTGTATGTAAATGTTTGCCTTTATACCACTCTCTCTAAAATAAATAAATACTAGTAGATCAATGGCTGGATTTCATGATCAGAATCTGACAAGGTTTCATGGCTGCTTTCGGAGAATGAAATGGGCTTTTGTGCTAGCCTGCTAGGTGTGCATCCACCTGTCCATTTGACCGTTTCCTGCCACTCTGGCAAGGCCCCCTTTGACCAACAACAGCTTGCTTCCCCTCTCTATTATTGGATAACTGTGGTTTGCTTCCCTTCCCACTACAGGTCCAGAGGAGCTTACCTGCTAATCACGACGCCATGATTTCTAACAGTCCCCATTATTGTGTTGTGTTTCTTTTTCTTTTTTTTTTGTGGGTGTGATGAGGAACTGTCTCCGTTATTGTCATGGACAATACAGCTCGGTAATGATGATAGTATTATCAGACTAATTAACATGTCACCAGTGACAATTACTAGCTGAGTTTCTGTGTTGGGGGGGTCCTGTGTGCTGTGATTATGCCAAGAGTTGTCGTTTGCCTCCTGCCCTCCCAGGCTCCCACTGGAAAGTCTATTCGTCTTTGGAGACGACGTCTTCTTATTTTTATATTTTGCTAAAAGAATATTTAAAAGATGGATCGATATATGATATAGTATTCGAATGTTTAAATTCAACTTATATATAAGCAGAAATAAGAATAATAATTTTGACTCTAAATGAAATCGAATTCAAACTTATATGTTTATGACGTGATATATTATAATGTATCTTCTCCGTTTCAAAATATAAGATATTTTGAACGGTAGAAGTGTTACATCTATTTAAAATCCCTTATATTTTTGGATCGATTGGAGTATTAATTTACCTTACTAATTTTATTAAAAGAATTTAGTATTATTTTTAAACGTCATGCATAAGACAAGTGACAAAAACCCACCTCTGTTTCAGACAACCTGTTAAAAATCCAGACGACCAGACGTGATTGAGCAATTCGCATCACATCACTCGTCGAGTCATAGCAGCCTGATGATCCAGGACGCCACAGGGAAGAACCCAAGAAGCCAACGTGGTAGCAAAGGCGGCCGGACACGTGGCCGTGCACGGCACGAGGGCACAGGGCAAACGGCACAGCGACCGGGCTGGCACGCGGCGTGAGGAGAGGCGTTAGCATGCGTGTTCGTCGCCGGCGGCCGGGGAAAACGTCGGCGACAGGTCACTCACACTCACAGGTGACTGCTGCTGATACGAGTGATCACCGTCTCTGGGAGATTTGGACTTGGGTAAAGTCAGGGCATGAATTGTCGGCCCATCGTTTCCGGAGAATGGGCCGTTTAGTTCGGGAAATGAAAATTTTTAGATGTCACATCGGATATTTGACCGAATATTGAAAGGGGTTTTCGAACACAAATGAAAAAACTAATTTTATAACTCGCATGAAAACCGCGAGACGAACCTTTTGAGCATAATTCATCCGTCATTAGCACATGTGGGTTATTATAGCACTTATGGCTAATCATGGATTAATTACGCTCAAAAGATTCGTCTTGCGATTTCCCCCTTAACTGTGTAATTAGTTTTTATTTTAATCTATATTTAATACTCCATGCATACATCTAAAAAATCGATGTGATGTTTTTGGGAAAAACTTTTGGGAACTAAACGGGACCTTATGGGCCCAAACTTTTTTGATATCATCGTTTTAGGCGAGACAAATTTATTAAACCTAATTAATTCATTATTAGCAAATATTTACTGTAATACCACATTGTCAAATCATTCAGCAATTAGGCTTAAAAGATTCATCTAGCAAATTAGTCGCAATTTGTGCAATTAGTTATTTTTTTAGCCTATATTTCATACTTCATGCAGGTGTTCAAACGTTCGATGTGACAGAGTGAAAAATTTTGGAGTGGGATCTAAATAGGGCCTATATCTAACATTGTGGTTAAGGATGTAAAGGGGGTGTTTAGATTCAGGGGTGTAAAGTTTTGGTGTGTCACATCAGGTATTATATAGGGTGTCGCATGGGGTGTTCGGGCACTAATAAAAATACTAATTATAGAATCTGTCAGTAAACAGTGAGATAAATTTATTAAGCCTAATTATTCCGTCATTAGCAAATGTTTACTGTAATCGCATGCTGTCAAATCATAGAGCAATTAGGTTTAAAATATTCGTCTCGCAAATTAGTTGCAATCTGTGTACTCCCTCCGTCCCATAATATTATAATCTAGGACTGGATGGGATGTTTCATAGTTCAATGAATCTGGATATGCATCTGTCCAGATTCGTTGTACTATAAAACGTCCTATCCAGTCCTAGGTTTTAATATTATGGGACGGAGGGAGTAATTAGTTATTTGAGTAAAGTGTACGGGCGATCCTTAAACTTGTAGAGGTGTGTCATCTAGGTCCCTAAACTCTCAAAATGCATATCCAAGTCCCAGAACTTGTCATAATGTGTCATCTAGGTCTCAAATCGCCACAACCCCTTCAGGATGCTACGTGGCGTTGATGTGGCATGCCACACGGATATGACGTGGTATTATTTTGACTGACAGATAGGATCAATTTAATTTTTTTTCCTTTTTTCTTCTCTTTTTCCCTTTCTTCTCTTTCTCTCTTTCTTTGTGATCCGTGCAGAAGAAATGGAAAAAAAGAAGAATGAAAAGAAAATGAAAAAGAAAAAGAAAAGAAGAAAAAAAAGAGAAAAGTACACGTCACGTCCATGTGGTATTGCCACATCAGCGCCACGTAGTATTCTAGAGGGGATGTGTCAATTTAGGACCAAAATAATACACTTTGACAAGTTCTGGTACCTGAATATGCATTTTGAAAGTTTAGGGACTTATATGACACAATCCTACAAGTTTAAGGATCACCAATGCACTTTACTCTAGTTATTTTTTTTAGCCTATATTTAATACTTTACGTAGGTGTTCAAATTTTAGGGTGGAATCTAAACCGATGCTAATTCAAACTCAACGTCAACAGCTAAGAATCGTGTTCTGAACACACAGCAGGCTCACGTAGGCCACGCCACCTCACCCTGTTGACCGAGTCAAACCAAGCGGAAGCTTCCACCGCAAGGAGCCGCGGCCCACTTATAGCCCACGGATAAAATCCCCCGCAACTCGCGCACAGCCCGCCCGGCCTGTCTAGCGCCTCGACTCCATTCAACTCGCGCAAAACCGCGGCCCGCCTTGGCCTTGTGCGGCGGCGACCATGGCCGCCGCCGCCTCCTCCTCCTCGCCGCCGGGGACCGCCTCCCCGGTGCTCAGCGTGCGGATCGTCTCCCTCGACTACTACATGGCGCCGCCCCTCCCCGGATTCGACTTCTCCTACAGCCACTTCCACGGTGCATTTCCCTTCCCCCCTCTCTTCTCCACCCGCCTCTCTCGACCTCCGGCTCGCCCCCCTTTGTTCCGTCTCTGTACCGCGCGCATG